CTCCTTGCTTAACATGAGTATACTCTGTGTCCTGTCTAATCCAACAGTTAAACGATGCTGTATCCAGGCCAGTAGTGTTGGTTTCTCTGTGTCCTGTCTAATCCAACAGTTAAACGATGCAGTATCCAGACCAAGCACCAGTCGTGTTGGTTTCTCTGTGTCCTGTCTAATCCAACAGTTAAACGATGCTGTATCCAGACCAAGCGCCAGTCGTGTTGGTTTCTCTGTGTCCTGTCTAATCCAACAGTTAAACGATGCAGTATCCAGACCAAGCACCAATCGTGTTGGTTTCTCTGTGTCCTGTCTAATCCAACAGTTAAACGATGCAGTATCCAGACCAAGCACCAGTCGTGTTGGTTTCTCTGTGTCCTGTCTAATCCAACAGTTAAACGATGCTGTATCCAGGCCAGTCGTGTTGGTTTCTCTGTGTCCTGTCTAATCCAACAGTTAAACGATGCTGTATCCAGGCCAGTCGTGTTGGTTTCTCTGTGTCCTGTCTAATCCAACAGTTAAACGATGCTGTATCCAGGCCAGTCGTGTTAGTTTCTCTGTGTCCTGTCTAATCCAACAGTTAAACGATGCTGTATCCAGGCCAGTCGTGTTGGTTTCTCTGTGTCCTGTCTAATCCAACAGTTAAACGATGCTGTATCCAGGCCAGTCGTGTTGGTTTCTCTGTGTCCTGTCTAATCCAACAGTTAAACGATGCTGTATCCAGAGCAAGCGCCAGTCGTGTTGGTTTCTCTGTGTCCTGTCTAATCCAACAGTTAAACGATGCTCTATCCAGACCAAGCGCCAGTCGTGTTGGTTTCTCTGGGGCAGGAATATCTTAATATAAATGACCCATCTTAGATTCCCCAAGGAAGTGCTGGTACGGTAACCTTCTGCATAGTTATACATTTGCACCTTGAATTCATTTTCAAGTTTGTGTCTATGTCAGCTTTTATAAGCTAGCTATCTTCTTCTTCTGCCTTTCTATCCCCCAATGGAGCATAGGCCCCCAACCAACTCACGCCAAGTCGTTCTATCCTTCGCCATTGCATGGAGCTCTCCCCATGTCCTCCCAATCTTTCTAACCTCATTCTCCAGCTCTCTTCTCCATGTGTTTTTTGGCCTTCCTTTGTTCCTATGCCCCTGTGGGTTCCAATGCAAAGACATTCTAGTTATGATGTTCTCCTGTTTTCTCAGTGTATGCCCTATCCAACGCCGGTGTCTTTTCCTCACCTCCTGATCCACTGGACCCTGTTTAGTTCTCTCCCAAAGTTCTACATTAGTTATTCTATCGTACCATTTTATTTCCTCTATTCTGAACAGGCACCAGTAAATGAATGTCTGTAATTTATTAGTAATTGCCTTGGTTTTTTTCCATGTTTCCACCCTATACAATAGTACTGATTTGACAGAATTAAAAATTTTTAGTTTAGTATTTTTTTAAATTTCTTTTGACCTCCACAAATTCCGTAGTGCTATGAAAGCCCCTCTTGCCTTTTGTATTCTTATTTTAATATCTCTATCAGTTCATCTTTATCTACATTACTGCCTAAATAGGTGTACAACTCCACGTCTTGGAGTGGGGTGGCATTAAGAGAAACCACATTACTATTTGCCTGATTTATTCTCATTATCTTTGTCTTTCCTTTATGGGTTTTCAGACCAAGCTGCTTTGATCTCGCATTAAGTATCTCTAATTTATCTTGTATCTGATTCCGTGAATGGGACAGAAGAGCAATATCATCAGTGAAGTCCAGATCATCAAGCTGTTTTGTAGGGGTCCACTGAATTCCATTCTTGGTGTTAGCAGTTACTGTTTTCATAGTCCAGTTTATAGCCAGTAAAAATAAGAGAGGCGACAAAAGACATCCGTCGCACACCTGTTTTTATTTCAAATGCATCTGTTAGCTTTCCCTCATGAAGAACTCGACATTTCATGTCTTAATATGTTGCCTTTACTAGGTTGATAATTTTCTGTGGGATTCCATAGTGCCCCATCAATTTCCAGAGAGATTCCCTATCAATGCTGTCAAATGCTTTTTCATAGTCTATAAATTAAATGTAAAGTGGTGAGTTCAGTTCAATGCGTTGCTCTATTATAATACGTAATGTGGCTATCTGATCAGTACAGGATCTGTTTGACCAAAAACCTGCCTGCTCATCTCTTAGCATTTTATCAATAGCATCTTTTAATTTTTCCAAAATAATTCTACTTAATATTTTTCCAGGAACTGACAGCAACATAATTCCTCTATAGTTTTCACACTCTTGTAGATCACCTTTTTTGGGCAATTTCACAAGATATCCTCTCCAGTCTGCTGGTATTTCTACAGTCTCCCAGACTTTACTGAATAATCTATATAGCAATTCTGTTGATGCTAGCTATATGACACAATAACTCAACACTAATTTGTGAATACGCCTGGACTAAACAACCTTGACTGGTGTCTTATTTTGGGTTCAGGTCACTAACAGCATGTGTGATTATGAATTGTTGAACAAACTCTCATGCAGGATGATCTGGAACTGGGCTCACCCAAGGAGTGGTCACCACAGTTTAGCCTCACTTCCATACAGTCAGCCTCTTATTTATCACAAGATATGCTCTGGGGGAGTAGTTTCAGATGTTTTGACACTACACAACTTGACTACATCATAACTGATCTCATTTATATATGCATCTCACATGCCAGTTCCTCCCAGTAATGCAAGCTAACAAAAGGTATTTCAAACATATTACAACATACTTTATTATGAAAGCAGAAAGGATGACACGTATGTTGCAAACATACAAAAAAAGTGGAAATGAAGTTTTCTCAAACGTAGGAAAAACAAACCACTAGAAATATTTCTGTTTAAATTCATGGCAAATGTATCTTACAGAATTTTTTTTTAAAACATTAACTCACAAAGACTAAAAGTACAGGAAAAAAAAAACCACATGATTGTTTCTTGACTCTGTGACATCACTTATAAAATTCTGTTAGGACCATTTCAATTTTAGAAACAATACTTGAGACACTAAGAGTAATGGACATATAAAATCTAGTGAGGCGATATGAACATTTAAAATGATCAAGGAAGGAATTGTTTCAAAATGGTATTGTGCGCGGCAAGGTGGGAATTTAAAAAAACCACTCAAATTCTCTATGAATCAATGAAATGTGAAAACTGGATAAATGAGTCATGTACTGTTTCTGATGCACTGGAGAAAGAATAACCACTACGTCCATATTATATGTGCTACTGGGGGAAATGATAACTGCAAGCAACACTTCATTTGAGCAGAAAATATGAAACCTGATGTTTTACAGGAGAGGAAAATTGCTGCCTTTCTCACGGGGAAACAAGGTGAAAATAAACATTTGCTGGTACACACATTATTGTCTGCTGACATTGAATTGTTTAACAACTGAATCAATAATTTTGTTTAATGACAACTAGTGAAAGAAATGTTACAACAATGAACTACCAGATGTAAGCCACTGGTGTCACACAAAGGGGCCACCACTTGTGACTGCCAATAAATTGTTGCTCAAACAATTCTGGATGTTTGCATGTGAACAGTGTCCACATATTTTCAATCAACATTTTGAAACGACTAGAATCTAAAAAATACACGCAAGAACCCCTGACGCAATGCTATGAATGAAAATCACCTATCTTGATCACCCAGAGATGCAGATAAAGAGCTCCTCAGTGGACCTGTCTAAGATTGTAACAACGGTTTCCGATGTTGAACAGCAAAAATGTGTCTTACAAGTAAAATAATATTACATTAAAGTAAAAATTACATTTAATTTAAAACAATGGTATTCACAATGAACATAACAAACCAACTAAAAAATGTCAACTACAAGACAGTTAACTATGGGCTCACTGTTTTTTTCTCTCTGAACCAACTAGAAATTGCTTAATTTGGACAAATGAATGGTTTGAGTCAATGAACTCACAAGTTGTTGCAATGGCACTGGTTTATGCACTGACATTTCCAAGCCAAGTGCAGACTGCACCACGCTGGCTCCAAAAAGCCAAGTACAGACTGCACTACGCTGACTCCAAAAAGCCAAGCACAAACTGCACTAAGCTGGCTCCAAAAAGCCAAGCACAGACTGCATCACGCTGACTCCAAAAAGCCAAGCACAGACTGCACCACGCTGGCTCCAAAAAGCCAAGCACAGACTGCACTACGCTGGCTCCAAAAAGCCAAGCACAGACTGCACTACGCTGGCTCCAAAAAGCCAAGCACAGACTGCACTACGCTGGCTCCAAAAAGCCAAGTGCAGACTGCACTACGCTGACTCCAAAAAGCCAAGTGCAGACTGCACTACGCTGACTCCAACAAGCCAAGAAACTAAACATACGGTCAACAAAATCTGCAACATTTTGGCAACAGTCAATAGCCAGGTGAGCCTCACAGATGCAATTGGCATGTACTAGCAAACACAAACGCCGTCAGTGGGAATGTTTCTCAGATTGCACACAATCTGACTGTCCTGTAACAATCTGTCATCAGACAATTTCCGCTAAACAACACAGGATCGTACGCCTTAAAACCACTACATCTTTTTATAACATGCTTAAGACATTGATAAAAACTGTGGTCTGAATCTACCTGTTATGTACACACTCAAGTGTACTTTCCACATTGCCTCTAACACGACAAACATGAACATTTGTAGGAAACCGCTGTCCAAGAACATCTGATTGGAAATAACGAAATAGGGGGGGTGGGGGTGGTGGTTTTTGGTATCTGAAAACTAGGGAGTTGAGGGGGGGGGAATAAATAATATCCCTGATCCTGCACTTAAAAAACCTGGGCAAACAAAAAAGTCCTTGTAATTGTTTTTGTTAAAGTCACCAGTTTTCAGCACAGAAAACAAAGACCACTAACTGATGACTGTATTAAACAAAATAAAAAAAATGTATGTCTGGTGTGAGAGTCAGGAGGAGAACATTGGATGGCCAACCTGACAGCAGATGTGGCTTGTTTGGCTTAGAGAACGTGTCAACTAGCTGTCACTTTTCTCTCCCTCTGGATCTTCTTCAACTGCTGCTGCTGTTTCTGCTGCTGCTTTCCCCTTTTTGCCTTTGTTTCGGCTGAGAAACTCTTTGCCTTCCTTAGCTGTTTTCTGCATGGTTCCTGCTTTTTTAACTGCTGGTTTTGGAGCATCACCTCTGCTTTGGGAGCGAGTCTTGCGACCAGAATTCACATCAACATCGCCGTCAAGAACAAATTTAGCTAAAAGAAACAAATACAGATACAACTGTGAGTAAAACAAATAATGACAGTCAAGATTGTTGAGCAAATTAAACGTACTGTTGTAGTAGTGCTTTCAAGCACTGATGCTATCTGAGAGGTTATATCCCCAGGAATCAAACTAGAGACAACATTGCAGATTTTGATGATCTATTTCAAGCAAACGAAAGAAGAATTTCCCCAGGACACCCCAGACTTGCTGATATGTGTTCAGATTAACATCATATATGTCAGCACCCTATGGTAAGCTGTGCCATTTCTATACTGGTTGTCAAGACTGCTGACTTGGCTGTTATATCTCTCGTGTCTGGCTATGCCAATGTGTAATCCCAATTCCTAACAGCAATATGGATGCACTGCCCTCTCGCTTCACCAAGGTTGCTACAATCCATATGTAACTGTAGCAGCCATTCTATCTGTAGGGATATGTGGTAGTGTAATGGTCTGTCTCATCCTGATGTCAGCAAAAACCGAATACAGCAAACAGAGGCTAAGAGAACCTGGCCACAGGAAGTGGGGCTGGAGGCTTCCTGCTTTGTGGCACACCAACCAAGAGATAACTATTATAGTTCCTGCCAATATATCTGACTTCAACGACTGAGTTAATTCCAGTTCAAACTTTGTGCCAAACAGGTCAACCCATAGTGTTCTGGTCCGGTGCCACTGAAACCACATACAATGCCTATCACTGCTGCTTGTGGAAAGAAATCACACACACAATGCCTATCACTGCTGCTTGTGGAAAGAAATCACACACACAATGCCTATCACTGCTGCTTGTGGAAAGAAATCACACACAATGCCTATCACTGCTGCTTGTGGAAAGAAACCACACACACAATGCCTATCACTGCTGCTTGTGGAAAGAAACCACACACACAATGCCTATCACTGCTGCTTGTGGAAAGAGACCACACACAATGCCTATCACTGCTGCTTGTGGAAAGAAACCACACACAATGCCTATCACTGCTGCTTGTGGAAAGAAACCACACACAATGCCTATCACTGCTGCTTGTGGAAAGAAACCACACACAATGCCTATCACTGCTGCTTGTGGAAAGAAACCACACACAATGCCTATCACTGCTGCTTGTGGAAAGAAATCACACACAATGCCTATCACTGCTGCTTGTGGAAAAACTGACACAGACTGCAGTCTCGGCAAAGCCAAAAGCGCTCATTTATATTAAATGCATCAAGCAGTTGCCAGAAGTGCCAACACAAATAGTCCACCATAAGGACTGCAGTTCATCATAAAGCATTTAGTTTCTTACAATATTATACACAATAAAACATTTGCCAACAAAACAACCAACAACTGCTATCAAAGCATCTTCAAATTACCTTCTTCCACAGTCTTGGCTATTGTAGAGTTTTTCTTTAAAGGGGCCTTCCTACTTTTCTGTGTGGCAGTTTCTTGTCTAGTATCGCCAAGTTTCTCTCCTGCCAGAAGGGTCTTTCCTTCCTAAAATGCAAGGATACAATGTTTGTTTCAGCCTCAAATACCTCCACAACAAAATAAGTAGCCATGTTTGTTTCAGCCTCAAATACCTCCACAACAAAATAAGTAGCCATGTTTGTTTCAGCCTCAAATACCTCCATAACAAAATAAGTAGCCATGTTTGTTTCAGCCTTAAATACCTCCACAACAAAATAAGTAGCCATGTTTGTTTCAGCCTAAAATACCTCCACAACAAAATAAGTAGCCATGTTTGTTTCAGCCTTCAATACCTCCACAACAAAATAAGTAGCCATGTTTGTTTCAGCCTTTAATACCTCCACAACAAAATAAGTAGCCATGTTTGTTGAAAATCTCACAGCAAATCTTCTTCTTCACGTTCACCAGCTGTAAACTCTGGCGGAAGATTCTGCTTGCTCGTCCACTACTGAACTGCAGTCCTGCTCCAGAACCTGAGTGTTGCGTGTGCATCAGTTTTACAGATCTCATTCTCTTGAATACAGACTGTTGGTTCCTTGCCTCTCCGGCAGATGCACTCCGACTTCAAAGGAAGCTTCTCAATTAGTCGACTCTTACGACATGCTTTTGGGGAGGCAGTGGGTCTATTCTTGTTTTCCCCACAATGGGGCCCCGGAACCCACACTGGGGTCACAGCAAATGAACAAGAAATCTTTCACTTATGCAACAAACACACACACACACAGAAATTAGGTATGATCCAAATAGCTCTCTGCCAGTATGTTTATGCCTGAGACTACAGAACACGTCTGACAAGACTGTCCTCTCTTGGTGAAGCAACCAGTAGACCTGATAAATAAGCTTGGGGACAGCTTAAAAGACCTTGATCTGACATCCCAGTTTATGGCCAGTGGATTTAAGCACACGACTAGAGACCACCGAAGAAGAACTACATGAAATAACACAAAAAGGGAAAAAACACCCAGTATATGTCTTTTTCTTCTTAGCGTTCAACAGCTGTAAACTCTGGCGTAAAGTTCTGGTTGTTCGTTCATGTCTGGACTGCAGTCCTGTTCCAGAACCTGAGTGTTTTGTGTGCATCCGTTTGACAAATCTGACACATTTATGTGCAGACTGCTGGTTCCTTGCCTCTCAGGCACATGCACTCGGACTTCGAAGGAAGCTCCTAATAGTGCCATGCTTGTTGGGTAGACAGTGGGTCTATTGTTTTCCCTATAATAAATAGGGCCCCGGAACCCACACGAGGGACCCAGTATATGTGAACCGCTAGGTGGTGATCATGAGAGGGCAGAAATGGTAGTGACAAACTACTAAAGAAAAACTGTCTGAGCAAGCAGAACAACAAAACTGCTCATTCTCAAACCAGTAACCACAATGTCAGAGATACTAGACAGCAAATAACAACACCACCGAGCAATCAGTCAATGAAAAGGGTTCCAGTACATGACTGAAAGAGATCATGAATCAGTTCTCGGGTGGGTACATTCATGAACCGAGGTACAGGTAACCGTTATTTCAACGGAAATTGTCCCACCGCAGCTTGACGATATATTGATAAGCCAAACAGGCAGATTTAATTAGGGTTTCACTGAATTCCAGGATATATAAAAGTGGGAGAAGAAGGGTCATTCTAAGATTGACTTCACTATGGCCCACGTGTCACTAACCAAGAACAATTCTGACAAGAATACAGCAGGACGACCTACCTTAGCCGTTGCAGCCATTGTGTTGTCCTTGGCTAGCTTTGTTTTCTTAGCTGGCGGTTCTTCTTTCTTCTCAACTGTAGCATCATCTGCCTTCTTGCCATTTTCCTCATCCTGCATGAACACAGTCAAGAGCACAGCTAACATTTACACCACATTACAATTATACTGGCTTTCTGTCAATCCAAATATACATCTCAAAGTTATCAGTTGTCACACCCTCTACAATCAAAATATACATCTCAAAGTTATCAGTTGTCACACACTCTACAATCCACAAACCACAATTTACTAAATTTATTCTGCAATTGTTTGTTGTTAGATGCCATTTTTTTTTTTAGAATGTTAGGATTGCAACACTGGTGACCACAGTAAAGTATATGGGGAGATGTCAGGATCCTTTCATTGTGCTGTTTCAGTTGGTATTCTCTGAGCTATGTTCTTGAGGGTAGGGTCCCATTTTTGCCTGGTACCCCCTTGCTCTACATATTCATATCTCTTCAACATGGTTCTTTTAGTGCCAGGGAAATATCAGATGACCAAACCATCTCACATGTTGCTCTTTAGTGAACTGCGTTTGCTGTAAAAGCACACAGGGCTGGAGAACTGACTAGAAAGACTTTAGGCTGCGGTGATGACAGCGATGTTTTGTAAAAGGACGTGCTGACTGATGATGATGAAAGTTTTCTTGAAGAAATTGACTGTTAATGTTTCAAGCACTGGCTAATCAAGCTTCTCTTCTAAAAAGCAAAAGCAAAATAAAAACACGTGCCGTGGCTGCTGAATCATTTGTGTCCTGCCCCTGGGCCGATGCCTTATCGTCAGCAAGTCCTTGTACTTTGAGTAGTGTTTCTTTCCCTTGTGATTTTAAGTACTCAATACCCTCCTGGAATAAAGAAGAAGCTATGACTTTCCAACTTAGACAAGGTATTGAAACAAGGATAGCAGATCAGTATTTACAGAAGACAGAATGAGAGGTTGGCAAAATACAAGTGTCAAAGATCACACAAATAACACCTAACATATCTATGTGATATCTATGCCTTTCAGCCCAACACATACCATGTCAGTTAATCTATAGCCAGTCACCTTATAAAACATGCTTGTAAAGGGACAGTAGGATCATCTGACAGTTCCATCCAAAAATAGAGTTCCAGAAGACAGTAGGATTATCTGACAGTTCCATCCAAAAATAGAGTTCCAGAAGACAGTAGGATCATCTGACAGTTCCATCCAAAAATAGAGTTTCAGAAGACAGTAGGATTGTCTGACAGTTCCATCCAAAAATAGAGTTCCAGAAGACAGTAGGATCATCTGACAGTTCCATCCAAAAATAGAGTTCCAGAAGACAGTAGGATCATCTGACAGTTCCATCCAAAAACAGAGTTCCAGAACCAACATAAATGATAAAAACATACTGCCATATTTTCAAAGCTCAGACCATTGCTCCCATTATGTAGTCCACTGTATTCTCCAGGTCTATCAGAGAGTCTTGTTTCAGCACCAACTGGTGACAACAGAGTTCTGAATTCCCAGTATCACATCAGCTTGTCACCCATAGATCTTAGATCTGTTAGATGTGTTGTCCTTGTAAACAACTGTTTATCTACTCAGTCAAAGGTGTCACAAGTAGGAGGCCATACAGCTGTTGCGGTGACCAGTTCTGTTCACCACTCAATATCACTTCTAACGGACGATTCGGCTATCCTCCAAATAACAATCCCAAATTATCAGGCTAAGAAAATACCTTAACAGGGCCCCAGTCATATGTAAATTGCAGACCTCTTTCTGGCAACTATACTGCATACTGCCGAGAGTCCCCCCCCCCTTCCGCACCACGTGGGGGGGGGGGGGACTAGATAGCTGGGACACACGAGCAGCAGCTACCTTCAGCTTCCTCAATATTTCCTCGCCATCTAGTTTAGCCCTCTTACCTGCTGCGCGTAGCGGCAGTCACCGGAAAGAGGTTCTGCAATTGACATATGACTGAGGCCCTGTTAGGGTATTTTCTTAGCCTCAATTTAGCACTGTTATTCGGAGGATATCTGACAATTTTGAACACTGTTTGCTACCCAGGGCTTTGTCCTAGGAAAAAAGTACTGCTATTTACCACTACCAAGTACCAGCTATCCTCTGAAAAACGGGCACAAAAGATGGCGGCCGCAAAAACACCCTAACAGGGCCTCAGTCACGTGTCAACTGTGCACTTCCGGCGACTTAATTTGCGGTTTTCCGGTGACTACCGCCACCGCCGAGAGTATCCCTACACCGCTAAACTAGATGGCTGGGACTCAGGAGCAGCAGCTTCCGCATCTCCTGCAGCTTTGCTCGTTGAGTCCTAGCCATCTAGTTTAGCCCCAATCCACTCCACAAGCAGCGCGGGGGATACTTTCGGCGGTGGCCGCCGGAAGTGCGCAATTGACACGTGACTGAGGCCCTGTTTTTGCCCGCCACCTTTTGTGCCCATTATTCGGAGGATAGCCCAAGTACCTACTAACTACTACAGACTACAGGAGTAGAGTTGAAAAATAAATAACCTTAGAAAAAGAGTCTGGTACTGTGGGCTATCCTCCGAATAACCGCCCTAAATTATTGAGGCCGAAAATATCCTAACAGGGCCTCAGTCACATGTAAATTTGCGGACTTCCTGCGACTACTGCCTCCGCCGAAAGCATCTCCCATGTTCTAAATGTGCGGCGTTTAGAGGGGCTAATCTAAGTGACTGGGACGCACGAGCAAATAAAATGAAGGAAGCTGCAGGAGATGCTGTAGCTGCTGCTCTAAGTCCCAGACATCTAGTTTAGCCCCGATCCACGCCGCTCGTAGTTGCTTAGGAGATAACTCTCGGCGGTGGCAGTAGTCACCGGAAGTCTGCAATTTAAATCACAGGAAATCCGCAATTTACAGGTGACTGAGGCCCTGTTAGAGTATATTGTTGGCCTCGATAATTTAGGACCGTTATTTGGAGGATAGCCGGTACTGTGTACCATTGTATGCTGCCAGAAAAATTTTTAACCCACTGTCTAGGTGGGGACAACACAAGCTGCAATGTGAGGAGCCGAAAAATAATCCTGTTTCGGCTAGGGATTCAAAAAGGGTCGTTGTCTTAGCAAGTAGATAGTGATACACAACTAATTTTAAATTTGTTAATGAGATAACTGCTTAAAATTTGACTTTAACTTTTGCCTGTGGGACTTTACTTTGCTGCATCAGTAAAAGTGTACTGGGCTTGTTTCTTACTTGTTTTTCAAATTCTAATTATGTATAAAAATGATAAATGATGGGCGGGATTCTTTGGCTGCAAAAATAGAAATCTCTAGTTTGTTGGCGGAAGTACTAGTTTTAACTTCGCCAGTTGGTAGACGACACCCGTAGCCTGTTTCTGGCATGTCTCTTGTATCCAAACCTGTCAGATGTTCAGTGCTGCTGCAAATATTCTGAAGCTGTCTATAATTTCATGACCTTGCATGCCAACAGCCGCCATATTGAAAAATCACAAATTAGATAAACGACAATTAAAAAAAAATTTAAACCAATATAATATAAATAAACAGAGTATTTAAATTTTACTTCATAAATACACACTGACATCGTGTCACTCTTTCTACTGGACTCTGTACATTGAAAGCTTATCAATGTGCAGCAGATTGATAAATACATGAAAGTGGGCCGGCGTTGTTTAATGCAGGTTAAAAAATGGCGAATTATCTCTTCTCGATGTTCACACTTTCCACTGGCATTTCATAGGCTTCAGCGGCAATAAAAATTGACATTACCTTAGCAGTTACTTGCATGGTCCCATCCCGAACAAGACCAGACTTAGCTTCGCTCATTGTAATGCTTGAATTACCTAAAAACTGAAGCCGAAAGGCACTAAGAAAACACAGGTTTCACACGAGGCGGCGGATAGCAGAATCGAGGAAGCGTTGTCACGTGACCAGGTCCCGGCCCGCTGATTGGCTGCTCGCAGAGAGGCCGTGCTGGAAGCGGGAGTACAAACACGTTTGGTAAACAAAATCTTGTTTCAGTTTATCAAACACTCTTGTTCAACTTATCTTTGACAATGGCGATCATTAAACAGTGTTAATAGGTTACGTGAAATTATGTATGCAGTTAAACTATATTTCATTTATTCTTATTATGTAGTTTTTGCCATAGCTGCGGTTTTATTTCAATTGCTAAATAGTCACTTATGTATGTCTATGGGTAAATATATTGCATAGCAGCGCCCCCCCCCCCCCAGCTACCCTCACTAGGTACTAGAGTATCGGTCCAAGTTACTAGTTTTGGTGCAATTAACATTTCTTAGCCAATATAATTGGCACAAAGAAACTAAACCACAATTATAGCCGATACTTCCCCGTGTGGGTTCCTTGGTCCCATTGTGGGGGAAAACAAGAATATACTCACTTCGTCTCCAACAAGCATGTTGCAGGAGTCGACTAATTGGGGATATTCTTCGAAGTTAGCGTGCATCTGCCTGAGAGGCAAGGAACCACAGGTTTGCAAACAGATAATCCAGATCTGTTAAACGGATGTGCACACAACACTCAGGTTCTGGAGTAAGACTATAGTTCAGAGGTGGATGAACACCCAGAACTTTCCGTCAGAGTTCACAGCCTGTGAACGCGAAGAAAAAGAAAAAGATAGCCGATACTGCTCGCTGTAGGTTGAACGTAGTCGATTTTTTTCATTATAAGTGGATAGATCCCCAAAAATGCCGTCTTTTCGGCGTTTGTGTTTTCAAGAAGTCGTTAAAAGCTTGTTTTTCTATATCTCTTCTTTGTTTAAAAAACGGATGCTGTCGAAGTCAATAGATCGTTCACTCGCATGCTTCGTACAGTATATCCAAGAAGGTGAGAAAAGTCTTTGCTCGCTACTAACTCATATCTGTCCGTTTTGAATTCTACATAAAATGAAAGAAGAATTGCTACAATAATCGGTAGTAGCTAGCTAGCTCCCTCGAAGCAGAAATGATTGTCGCCATTTTAATCTTCACAAAATTCCCCCAACCACTTGTCCTGAGATCTCTGCTGTGTATCGTCTTCTTCTTCTTATAGTCCATGCCATGTGGCGTTGGTAGTCATGTCTATCCTCAGCCTTCTATCTCGTGTGCTTTCAATCAACTTTGACACAGACGATCTTCCATAGTCCATGCCATGTGGCGTTGGTAGTCATGTCTATCCACATCCTTCTATCTCGTGTGCTTTCAATCAACTCTGACACAGACGATCTTCCATAGTCCATGCCATGTGGTGTTTGTAGTCATGTCTATCCACAGCCTTCTATCTCATGTGCTTTCAATCAACTCTGACACAGACGATCTTCCGTAGTTCATGCCGTGTGGCTTTGGTAGTCATGTCTATCCACAACCTTCTATCTCGTGTGCTTTCAATCAACTCTGACACAGACGATCTTCCATAGTCCATGCCATGTGGTGTTTGTAGTCATGTCTATCCACAACCTTCTATCTCGTGTGCTTTCAATCAACTCTGACACAGATGATCTTCCATAGTCCATGCCGTGTGGCTTTGGTAGTCATGTCTATCCCCAGCCTTCTAACTCATGTGCTTTCAATCAACTCTGACACAGACGATCTTCCATAGTTCATGCCGTGTGGCTTTGGTAGTCATGTCTATCCACAACCTTCTATCTCGTGTGCTTTTAATCAACTCTGACACAGATGAACTTCCATAGTCCATGCCATGTGGCGTTGGTAGTCATGTCTATCCACAGCCTTCTATCTCGTGTGCTTTCAAACAACTCTGATACAGACGATCTTCCATAGTCCATGCCACGTGGTGTTTGTAGTATTTCTATCCCCAACCTTCTATCTCGTGTGCTTTCAATCATCTCTGACACAGATGATCCTCCACATTAAACTGCCCAGCATCTTCCTCTGGTTATCTTTCTCTCCAACCTCACCACTGCCACGATAAACTCCAGTTTTCTCCTTCTCATGAGATGGCCAAAGAAGGCAGATTATCTCCTAGTGATATGGAGAATCAGGTCTCTTCGTTAGTCAGTTTCTTTCAAGACATCTTCATGATTATGTTCATCTGTCCAGACTATTCTCATCATTCATCTACAAATCCACATCGCAGCTTACAAATAATTGTGACTAATCTACCAACTGTCCGCGATTCACTTCAGAAACAAGATTTATCTCCGCTATGCACAGAATCCTCCATGTTTGCATACTCTATCGTCATCGGCGCAGACATGGCCCTGCCTCCAGTTTTCTCAGTCGAAGACACCACTAACGCAGTCTCTGTTCAATGTGATAGTTACTTACTTCAGGTTTTGGCCAAAGACTATAAAAAAAAAAATGAAAGAAAGAATAGGGAAAAGAAAGAGTGGAAGAAGTAAAAAAGAAAGAGTTTTGAAATAAAAAAAAATAAAAAAAACACAGTGACAAGGAGAGAAACAAGAAAACGAATAGAAAGACAGAGAGGACAGAAACATTAGGTTTCATTCATACGGGACACGTTATAAAAGTTGTTTACTTGTGCTGTGTGTTTTAACAATTCCGTATTATTTCTGACAAAAGTAAACAATCGTTTCAAGAACACAGCATCAAACATCTTTATTTAACATCACACAAAGACAATCAGAAGAAAATTAGTTTTGGTAGGCTGACCATATTTCTCTGAGACAAAAACGGGACACCAGGATGGCTAAAACGGGACACTGGTGTGGCTAAAACGGGACACTGGTGTGGCTAAACGGGACACTGGGATGGCTAAAATGGGACACTGGGATGGCTTAAGCGGGAAACTGGCATGGCAAAAACGGGACACGGATGGCTGAAATGGGACATTGTGATGGCTAAAACGGGAAACTGATATAGCTGAAATGAGACACTGGGATGGCAAAACATGAGACATTTTGGTGGCAAAGGGGACGTTGGAAAGATATTTATTTTTTTAAAAGACGGAGGTGTAATATTTTGCATTCAACACCGTAGGAAAACTCACGGAGGAAATCGTGGCCAGAAAGTTGACCCAAAAATTAGAATCAAGTGGTCTTCTGGCACCTCCACTAAGTGGGTGCCGCCCGGACAGAGATACCCGGTGTAATGCGACAGTAATTGCTTACGACACATATAAGGGCTTCCAAGCAGGAATAGAAACTGCTGCAGCCGCCATTGACTTACAACATGCTCATCAGATAGATGATGGATAATGCACATAAAGACGAAATAGGTCAACTGGATCACAGCAGCACTCTTCGAAAGAACAGTGTTGATGAGGTTCGATACATGGGCATGGAAGCCCCAGGGATCACCACTGTCTCCCGTTCTCTTTAATGTGTACAAATCGTTATTCACCAGTGCGCAGATTGTAGGTCTGGAGAGAACAGTGTCGTTCGCAGACAATATCCTTAAGAAAACAATAGTGATGAAATAACAACAACGCTACAGCATGAATTAGATCGACTCAGTGAGTGGTGCCAAGAATCAAATGCACAGGTAAACCCGGCAAAGGCTTCCTTAACATGGTTCTCTATGAATACCCACATTGTCAATGTACCCACGCCAGTCGTGAGCAAGTGTGGTATAGAGATCGATAGAACGAACACAATGATGTTGTAGCTGGGAAAAATGAAGGAAACAGATCTGTCTCATTGAAAACGATACATATGGCCAGCCTACCTGTTTAGATATTTTAAAACGATGCCAATTTTCTTCTAGTTTCATTCATCATTTAAAAGAAACTGGCAGTGTGCATCATAATTATCCATGACCTTGCCAACTAGCTTTGCCACAATGTGCGATCTTACAACATGTATCATGTGCCGACACCCCCTTTAGGCTACGACAAAAAGCTCTAAAGAAACTTCTCATTTTGTGCTCTTCTATTTCTTCTTCCCCAAATCCTTTCCTATCATCCAAAAATGTTTCAGTATCTTTCTTCTCATAACGTAGCCAATAAATTATGACTGTCTCTCTCCGAAATTTGTGATATGTTGTCTTCAGACCCTCACCTGTTTCAGAATATGATGATGTTCAACCCCATCAGGACATCACACCAAGCGATAAACACCTGGTGAGTCAAAGTGCACAGCCAGGGTAGGCTTTAAAACAAAAAACTGCGTCAGATATTGGGACGCAAATAAAATGGTATGTGTTGTTTCAAAATATACAGATTACTTATTCCGGCTGTCCAATGAAGTTTAATCTTCTGCTTTGAAAAAAACACACACCAAAAAACAATTTAAAAAAACGTGTGCATTGACAATACAAATGCCACACTGTCTGTGTTGACAGTTGGTTGATTCCTGTCCTAACTAAGATGTAAATAGTTCGTTGTTCAAAACAAATGTCCACTGTATAAGGAAAAACTAAACAACTTTCTGCTGGGATGTTGCCTCCTCTACTCGGGCTGGACAATTCTGGCGCGAATAAACACCGGCACCAGCTCTGTGATGACATCATTTTTCAGGGCTAAGGTCACTGTCTCCTCCAGAACCTTCGTTGGCTGCAAAAAAAAACATTTACAGCATGGTCAAATGTTCTTAGTATGATGCAAGTCTTCCCAATGCCACCCCTAATAGCTTAGCACTGTCAGATCAAAAGTTCAAACTGAATTTTCATTTTACAGCTTACGCCAGCCCCTCCCTCTTTTGTTAAACTGTGCCGCCTGATGCAGCCACCTCTCTTTATCATAGCACGGCAGGGCCCTGCTTGAAAATAGTATTATCATGTCTGAATGTTTCCCTGTGTTGGTTCTGGGGCCCCGCTGTTAAGGTTAGGGGGTGGGGGGCAGACCCACTGCCTCCCTATCAAGCATGTTGTAAGAATCCACTAATTAAGGGGTTTCTTCGAAGTGAGAGTGCATCTGCCTGAAGGGCAAAGAACAGTCTGCCTGCATATAAGCCAGATTTGTAAAACGGTTGTGTATGCAAAACTCAAATTCTGGAACATGACCCAAGTCCAGAATTGGATGAACAACCAGAACTTTCCGCCTGAGTTTACAGTCAGTGAACATGATGATGATGATGTCAGAATGCTAAAAATCTAGTTAGTTACTATAACTGTGGTTAAAACAATGAAATCCAAATACAAGACAGTCCATTCTTTTATAGCAGGGATAGGTGTATGAGTGAGTGAGTGAGAGTGAGTGAGAGAGAGAGAGAGATATGAGACATTACCCTTATTTCACACCTTTAGATCACACTAGTAGAATTTCAGCACAATTCACGTACTCCGCAGCACCACCACAGATTTACAAGTGCTTATACCAGAATCACACAAGAAATACATATTCTTTTGTGACACTGTTTTTAAAATTTTGAAATTAGCCTGCAGACATTTCCATTTGTTCTGTTTATTTTCTAACTGCTGAGAGGTTTGCATCACACACAAGGGTCAGTCAAGTTTTTTTGCCATAATCTGAGAACTGAAAATGCGTACACTACCCTTTCTGTATTTCTAAAAATCTTTTAAGTCCACGCCCCTGAGCTATTACACCCTTAGATACTAATCTAGCATGAGAATGGAGGTGGAGGCAGTAACTGCAGCTCTCCGGTGGCTAGAGAACAAGATGCATACACATGTCGTAATTGTAACAGACTGAAAGCATGCTGAGAAAGGTGAAGACAGGGATGCTTCGAGAAGAGTGGCAAGCTTCACTGGAAAGGTCACAGGTAGTGAACATACTTTGGATCTTTTCTCCAGGCCATGCCGGCATGGTGGGTAATGAACAGGCAGACAGATTGGCTGGATCTGCACACTGGGTGGTGAATTGATACATGACAAGGCAGATGTGGCCAAGGCCCTTTGGGGGAAAAGCAACAGAATCAGTAGAGATAGAAGATTATTCTGGTCCGGATAGAATGAGGCATCTGGGTGTAACCAGAGGGTCTGGCCGGCTCACTACACTCTGAGGAAAGACAAAACGGACATATAACCAGCTTGTGACCAGTACCATCATTAATTGAACTCTGCGCTGGCTGCTGAAGATGAGGACGGAGCATGCATAGGAATGCCCCAAGTTCTGTGATATCAACTCAACTCAACCCTTACATACTAAAGGTATTATATAACACAAAAGAACATTATCATCTGGAAAGAGAGAAAAGTGCCAATACACAAACAATATAGTAATGGTATCACAATGTCAGTGATAGTTCTTACATCGATGTCTGAAGGCGGCAGACAAGTGAAGACAATGGATTTCCTACTGTCGGCTTCAACGGTCCCCTGTAGTGAAGACAAGATAAGAGATAAACAAAATGATGCTGATACTGTGTGTTTGTGTGTGTGCATGGGCGTGCATCAAATACAGGATTATTTAAAATGATGGATCCACTTTATTTGTGTATATTTTCTTAAATATACATTACATAATAATAATATAAGAGACAAGAAGGTTCCATTAGCTCAGATAAAGGTTGGCAGTAATGATGAGATCTGATTGTCTTGTCTATCTCCCACTGAACCACCAGGACAATATGTTCAGACCTGACGATTAGCTTTGCTATTAGTTGTTGTTATTGTTTATATCAGTCCACATTCTTCTTTTGCTTTGTTCATTGGCTGTAAGCTGTGGCCCAGAGTCCTGGCAATTCATCAGATTAACCCTTTGGAGACGACGCTGCCGAAATACCGACCAGACACAAAGTAGCCAAAAGAACGAGTGGTCCGATCAGTCGGCCCTGTGTAATACAAGCCTTGAGATTGGCTGGCAGGTTTTTGTACCATCCAATCAGATTACTTCTAGGCTGTTCATTGATGGCTTTCAAGAAAGTCTGATGTGTTCTGTAATTTTATATCAATTTTTTTCTGGGATGACCTGTGCCCAAAAAATGGCGAAAGGGACTGTAGCGTCACAACAACTGAAACATAGCTGGAGGCAGGACAATTTGTAGAACCGTGTGCCAGATGTGTTTGAAGGGCCTCCGAAGGCCTTACTTCCCAAAACACAAGTGTTTGGACTTAATCAAGCTTATCCAGAAAAAAATGCACCCACATTTTTTAGGTTAGTCATGTTTGTTCCCTAGTTTAAAAAAAAAATGCTTGCATAAATTATGCAATTTAGAATTGTTAATTTGAATAAATGTTGAAATTTCAGTTTGAAAAATATTCTGTTAGCTCATTCAATTTTCTAAACGAATATATATAGTTTTGTATATGTTAATTAAACGCCTTATTTTTTAAATAATTTTGTTGTGTATAAACTGTGAGCATCCCCTCCTGAAGGCTTCGTCTTTTTTGTCACTGAAACTCCAACTGTTCTGTAGTCAAAGATCTTTATTTCGAATCCACAATGAGGTCTTTTTATAACTATCCTGGGCACTCCGGTCGACCTGACCTAATCTGGGAACCAGAAATTGTCCTGGGGTGTCAAGGCGGCCACATCATGCTCACATCAATGACTGGCGACTCACCTTTTGTGGTTGTACGGTAAAATACTTATGGCCCTGCAGCCCCTCCACTGAGAACTCTCCAGCCTGAAAACAAAAATTACAGCGAAATAAATGCAAACCAAACAACATGTAACTTCATTGTTACTATTTGTGAAATATCTCTCTCTCTCTCTCTCTCTCTCTTTCTTTTTCTCTCTTTTCTCTCTCTCTCTCTCTCTCTCTCTCTCTCTCTCTCTCTCTCTCTCTCTCTCTTTTTCTCTCTTTCTCTCTCTCTCTCTCTCTCTCTCTCTCTCTCTCTCTCTCTAAGTGGGGGTGTCTGTCTGTCTAAGCCCAATGACGAAGACAGGAATTTCACTGAAACACTGAGAAACAGAACCGTCACTATGACTGAATAAGACACAATGTCTGCTTACACCGAAAAACAGAGCTGTCACTATGGATGAAAAAGACATAATGTCTGCTTACACAGAGAAACAGAGCTGTCACTATGGCTGAATAAGACACGTCTGCTTACACCGAGAAACAGAACCGTTACTATGACTGAATAAGACACAATGTCTGCTTACACCGAGAAACAGAGCTGTCACTATGGCTGAATAAGACACAATGTCTGCTTACACCGAGAAACAGAGCTGTCACTATGACTGAATAAGACACAACGTCTGCTTACACCGAGAAACAGAGCTGTCATTATGGCTGAATAAGACACAATGTCTGCTTACATTAAGAAACAGAACCGTCACTTTGGCTGAATAAGATACAATGTCTGCTCACATTGAGAAACAGAACCGTCACTTTGGCTGAATAAGACACAATGCTTACACTAAGAAATAAAACCATCACTATGACTGAATAAGACACAATGTCTGCTTACACTGAGAACTGCGACATTCAAGGGAACACCCACAATTAGTCGCCGCTTACGACATGCTTTTGAAAAAAAAGGGGGGGGGGGATACGACTATTCTCAGTCCTCCAACATGAAGGCCTGGAACCCACTCGGGGACAGTCAGGTAGGTAAAGTCAGTCTCGTTTGTTTAAACACGGATGATGTGATCAATATTACGCCGGCAGCCTTTACTTCCCGTACCCATTTGGTCTGGGTTAACCAGATAATCATGGTTTCTTTAAAATAATAAAAAAAATTCGCATCAAGAGGGATTTGATCATTTTTTCAGAGGACCCGTCCAGAAACGCGTTAGTAACTGGGCCAGAACGAATAGTAGTAGCATTTCTGTGCCTGGTTTTGTGGAAACTCTTGAGTGTGTTTATCTCTAAGTGTAGGTTGCCCGGGGTTTTGGGCGTCTATGTGTGGCTAGGGGCGGGGCGGACGACTCTTACTGTTTATTTGGTAACACGCTTCGATCAAAGAGTTGGCATAAACCTAAATTCGACAAGGACATATGTATTTATTAGACTCACAACACTCGGGTGGTGCAGTGCCTGACATCATCACTTTTATATTAAGCGACATGGGAAGGGACTGTTTGCTGTCACTTGCCCCATGGGCAGCATGCATCTTTTTTTTTTACGTACAAAATCCGTCTTCTTCGCGGTGACCAGCTGTAAGGTTCTGGCGGAAAGTTCGCGTTGTTCATCCAACTTCTTGGCTGCAGTCCTGTTTTCCAAAACCTGAGTGTTGCGTGAAGTGGTTCTATTCTTGTTCTCCCTATAATAGGGCCCCGGAATCCACACGGGGATAAGTACAAAATAAAGTAGATGATTCACGGAGCATGCCGAGAAAGATGGAGACAGGCATGCTCCGTGCAGAGTGGCAAGTATCAATTCAGAGGTCCCTGGTAGTTAGCGTCCTTTGGATATTTTCTCCAGGTCATGCCGGTGTGTTGGGGAATAAGCAGGCGGATAGACTGACCAGCTCTGTACCACTTGATGGTGAATTTATGTATGACAAGCTAGATGTTGTGAGGGCCCTCTGGGAGCGAGTGAACAGTGCAGAGGCATAAAATAGATCATTACGGTCCTGGGAGAACGGCGCTTCGAGGAGTTACAAGGGGATCTGGCCGATGCTCAACACTCAGGGGAAAGGCGAGACGGATATACAATCAGTTACTGGTGCCATCGGAATTGGAACTCTTCGCTTGCTGCTGAAGATGGGGACGGGGCGCTTATCGGAGGGTTCCGAGTGCTATGGTGACGATTCTTAATTCAAAATTAAAATTAGATAGGCAGCAATGGTTATTGTCGTTGTTTGTTGATGTCGAAGCTCGTGTCGCCAGTCCATATACTCCAAGGGCCATCTCTGGATTTCACATCAGTTCTATTCGTGTGCAGCTCCTGTGTTGGTAGTTGTTCTGGCTGCATTCTTACTAGATGACCAAACCATTTGACCTTCCTTTTCGCAATGAATTCGTTGCATGGTGTTGTTCCTACAGTCTGTCTGATAATATTCTTTCTACTGTTTCTCGGATGGTCAAGTTGGCGGCTTTTCTCGGACATCTCACTTCACAGGTGTTAATTTTACGTAGGTTAATCTTTGATAATATCCAAGTCTGGCACTGGCAGCACAGTGTTGGTATGAATATGCTGTTTATAATCTGTTTCTTGGCGCTCATACTTATGTTTTGATGTTCTAATAAAGGTGTCAGATGGTTTTTAAGTGTACGGCTCATTGGCATCTTGTTTCCATTTCCCGATCTATTCTCCCGTCCTCCGAGAATAAATTTCCTAGATATTTAAATTCTTTAACTCGCTTTAGAGAAGTACCGTTCAACTCTTTCAATAATACGGTACATTAGAAGATGTAACAATATCTTATTTTTTGTTAAACGTAAAACCTCTTCAAACTTGTTTCAATTTTGAACAGATCCATATTAAACCGGCCACAATCTTAACCGCAACTACGGAACGAAACAGCACGTAAAGTCAGTTGCGGTATCACGTGTCAAAGGGTATATAGAACTATAGCAAACAGACATGAGTAAAGCTTCGTTCTTGCAGGCACCGGGTGACCGCCGGAAGATCGCTTGTTCTGTGAAATATGCGATGTTTACACACAGTACGTTGATTATGCACAGACGCTGTCCCAATGGTTGGTTTTTCTCTCTCTCTCTCTCTCACTCTCACTCTCACGCACGCACGCACACACACACACACGCACACGCACGCGCACACGCACACACACACACACACGCGCACACGCGCGCACACACACACGCGCGCGCACACGCACACACACACACACGCACGCACGCACGTGCACACGTGCACACGCGCACACACACACACACACACACACACACACACATACATATATATATATATATATATATATATATATATATATATATATATATATATATATATATATATATATATATATATATATATAGCAAATTGCGGTACTTGGGTATCATTTTTGATAAATGACTGACTTTCTACCCCACCAGGACATCACACAAGCGATAAACAGGTGAGGATCACCGTGGAGAGGTCCTAGAAACCGCGTTCAGCCTTTAGGCCATATTTATAGCCAGGCTCTATTGCGGCCCCTGGCAAGAGCCAGAGCAGGGCTTCAAATACCGAAAACTATTCATAAAACGGACGAGAAGTTAGCTGTACATCACTTTTGATAGAATGGAAGACCTTATATGCAACACAGCCGGTCACGTGACATCACAACTAGTTTAAGAATGGAGGTTTTGTTTGTTTGTTTGTTTTAATATCCAGAAGCCATGAATTGTTAACCCTTAGGCTCGGTACTATAGATATCGCAACCTTTCGGCCTTGATTCCATTGTAAATACCGTAAATCTGGGAGAAATATGGCTTTTCTGCCTACCCCCGGGAGTGAACTTGGACCACAAGGAGTTCGTCACCCGGTCACCACGCAATCCGGTTTGGCCAACTACACTAGAGAGCAGGGCTAAGAATGGAGGTTGAAGCAGTCACTGCATCCTTCTACTGTCTTGAGAATCGGCAGTACACACACTGCGATTGTAGCTGACTCACACAAAGCATGCCGAGAAAGGTCGAGACAGGCATGCTCTGTACAGAGTGGCAAGCGTCGCTTCAGAGGTAGGTCCTGGGTAGTTAGTGGCCTTTGAAAATTGTATCCGGTGCATGCATATTGTTGGGAAACGAACAGGTAGACAAACTGGCTGGTCCTGCCTGACTCGGGGCTAAACTGCTGCATACAGGCTAGACACTGCGAAAGCCTCTTTGGAGCAAGTGAACAGTGTGGGGGCATAAATAAATCACCCCGGTCTGAATATAACCATGCTCATCTCTGGACCAAAGTTCGATCGAGGCCAGGCTAGTGTGCCAGCGAAAGCCACACCTGCACTGTTTATAAACGTGAGTGAACAAGACCGCACCCAACATTAATCTCTTCCATTCACACACACGGTGATTCCTACACTGTTGCGAGTCAGTTGCACCCCTCCGACAAGTGACCCGCGAGTGCCTAGCAATGACCCGTGGGTGCCTAGCAAGTGACGCGCGGGTGCCTAGCAATGACCCGTGGGTGCCTAGCAAGTGACGCGTGGGTGCCTAGCAAGTGACGCGCAGGTGCCTAGCAAGTGACGCGCGGGTGCCTAGCAATGACCCGTGGGTGCCTAGCAATGACCCGTGGGTGCCTAGCAAGTGACGCGTGGGTGCCTAGCAATGACCCGTGGGTGCCTAGCAAGTGACGCGTGGGTGCCTAGCAATGACCCGTGGGTGCCTAGCAAGTGACGCGTGGGTGCCTAGCAAGTGACCCGTGGGTGCCTAGCAATGACCCGTGGGTGCCTAGCAAGTGACGCGCAGGTGCCTAGCAAGTGACGCGCGGGTGCCTAGCAAGTGACCCGTGGGTGCCTAGCAATGACCCGTGGGTGCCTAACAAGTGAGGATCATTGCAGAAACTGTGATCCTCCCACGTAGGAGCTCAAGCCTCAGGCCTATGGTGAACGCCATTTTCAACATTCTGACACCCGAGTTGACTAGCCCGACTCACCGCCTCCTTTAGAGTCTGGAGCCGCTCCTGCCCGACTCTATTGTGGATTACAGAGAGCTGGAAGATCTCTAGGTCATGTCTTGTGACACTGTAATCACGTGACCTCGGCCTTCTGTCTAATGCACTGACAATGTTTTGTGACACTTGTTCTTCTACACAATGATGCCAAAGTGGCAAGCATCTTCTCTGTTGGTCTCTTCTTTCATCTCTTTCCAGCCAACTATCATGTTGTCACTTCAGGGCTGCCGATACTTGGGTCCTCCCTAAGATCTGTTTTTTTAATGATTCCTTATGTTAAGATTTCAAAATCTTGTGTTTTTTTTTTAAATGTATCCTTATAGAAGTGCAAATGTTTCGTTTCGTAACTATAAAACTTGTACTTTTTTTAAATCTTGGGATTTTGTTTTTTGTTAGTTTCTTATGTAATGCTTGGGTTTCTGGCTAACTTAGCTTGGGTTGAACTGAACTGAACTGAATTTCTACCCCACCAGGACATCACACAAGCGATAAACAACCGATGACACAAAGTGCCACCATGTGGATGAGGATCACCGTGGAGAGGTCCCAGAAACCGCGTTCAGACATTTGGCCATATAAATGGCCTGCCTATATTGCGGCCCCTGGCAAAAGCCAGAGTGGGGCTTCAAATGACAAAAAATTTCGTCCTAAAAAGGACGAAATTTGGTAATAAGAATAACTTGGGTTTTGATAAAAAATCCAATTGACAGCCCTGGTCAAAATTTACTGCACGTGTAAACTACTGTAAACTGCTCACCTGTTAACCCCATGATCAACCAATGTAGATTATCTGTTGTCACCTGCTCACCACACGATCAACCAATGTAGATTATCTGTTGTCACCTGCTCACCACATGATCAACCAATGTAGATTATCTGTTGTCACCTGCTCACCACATGATCAACCAATGTAGATTATCTGTTGTCACCTGCTCACCACATGATTTACGAATGTAGGCTGTCTGCTTCTAATTGCGATAATCTCCCCTGTTCTTGATGAAACTGCTAGGTAACTGGCCTTTATGACGAAGTTCGTGCGGACGAAACGACACATTTAAGGTGGCTGGATTCTGGATTTAAGTGCGATTCCGACAACAATGGAAGCATGAAGTACCAGCCTGAAGTGTGTACAGCCTGATGTGTGTACAGCCCGATGTGTGTACAACCTGATGTTTAATTTTTTTCCCCGTAACAGGCAGCACCTACATCTTTAGACATCTGCTCACAAGTCGGGGCAACTAATATGCTTTGAGGGGCGCGATAATTCGATTCTTAAACCAAGAACCGTGAAACCCACTCTATCAATTGTTCCTTTAACTGTGGACAGTCAGTAAGTAACACCCACGCCATAGTACTTTCCAACCAGGGAATATACAAATCTAACATTGTACAGGCGTAAAACGGTCGCCTAGTATTGACTGTCTCTACTGAGTAAACAGAGAAAATATGCGAGCATACAAAAGTCATTGACGTGTGTCATTTCCCAGCCAACAGACGCAACAACTGTAGTGAAGTGTCAGTAAAACTAGAGCATTTTTGGGGAAACAAATTTGACAGCGTCACACCCTACCCACAAGAGGACAATTTGGCAAGAAAATGGTGACAAGATTTATTGCGAAACAATTCATAAGCGAAAATAAATATGGCGTGATTTCTATTGGGGAAACCTTAAAAAAAAAGAGGGGGGGGGGGGGGGGGGGTGGGGGGGGGGGGGGGGGGGGGGGGGGGGGGGGAGAGAACTATGTGCGCGAGTACTTGATATAGTGTCTGCGCTTCATAGAAACGTTCCTAGTATTTAGTCTGCTACACTATGATTGATTTCACCAGAACTGGATATCATCATCATCATCATCATGTGGCAAGTACTTTGCAGAACGTAGTTCTTAACATGGCCTGAAATTGATCGACCCCTCGCTAATTTCCCTGCCTCATTTCATTTACACAGCAAGGGGTAGGTCTTAAATGCGATCCCCATCTTATGTTGATCAACTCTGGCCTCTTCTTTCAGGAATGATGCTCTCTTGTAGCAATCTTTCTAACCCCTGACCACAGTATTTGTTTCAGCATTTATTGCAAGATGAGCAATAGTTAATAGGAGCAGGACATGCCAGACACAATGGTGGTGGTGGTGGTGGTGGTGGTAGCTTTGCAAAGACAAGAAAAAATCATCGTCACGTTCAACTAGCACCCACAAAGGGGGAGCTTTAGGTTATAATTGTGACTAGATTATGTGCGCCATATAAAATAGTTTAGCATTGCTCACCACCAGGTAGCCCTGACAAGAACTCTTGCAATGTTATTGCAATCAAAGGAAACAGACCAAAATACTGTGCTGTGCTGGGGGGGGGGGGGGGGTCGTTGCTCAGCACAATGGAGCTTATACCTTAATTAAGACTGACTGTTGATACACCCGACTTTTCACGCATTTGTTGCTCAGGTTTGCCTTCCATGGTTTGAAGATGTCTGAGTTTGTATTTAAATGTCAACAATGTATGACGTTTGTGTGTGTGGGGATGAATCTGACATGTTTACAACCAATCACAGTTTGTGTTTAGTCAGGTCGTTTCTTGGTAACAGCTCTAGGGCAGTCACTCCTGTTTTCAACAATATAAACTCCACCAGTCCCAGAAGGTCATAACTGATGCTTAAATGAGGCACCAGTGACAGCAAAAAAAAACATGGGTATACTATATCCACAGGAGCTAAACGCACAACCCTCGTAGGAGTCTAGAGTGTTAATGGGGACTTGGATATGCCCTGTGTAAACAAAATTAAAAGACATAATATGCTGACTGCTACTATCTGAGTAAATCTAGCCACACATGATGCACTGTTTGGTGCTGCAGGCAATTACAAAACCACACTGTGATGCCTGTAAGTGGGATACATGAACTTTTAGACAAGAAAAAACACACCCCCAAAACAGTCGATTTGAAAAGCTAAAAAATCAGGTTCTGGCCCAACAAAATAGCCTGCAACGGAAGCTGAACAAATTTACCCTCAAAAGAAAATTGCTAATGAAACAAGAATTAAATACAGACATTCACAAAAGTCTTGTGACACACTTACTCTCCTGGCTGCTCCTGCCATTGTCTGAACACATCCCACGAAGATGTGCGTCGTGACTGGCTCAAAGAATTCACTGTTCATCGCTATCTCCATGGTAATTAGTACTGGTGGCGACATCACCGTGGAACCTGCACACACACAACACATACATATATATATATATATATAATGCGTGTATTGTTGTGCAAGCAAAAACTTCCTTGGCAGTTGGAAATCGAAAAGAGTTAATTTGGAGTTCCTCGCTGGTTCTACGGAGTTCGTGCACTTTGCTGAGATTCTTCGGGCTCAGGCTTGAATTAGAAGTAGAACGGAGCACATATGGGTTACTACCCTTGTGCCATGTTGTTGATCCGTTGTATAAACCTAAACCTAAACCTACTATATACACATATAGATATGTCATATTGTCAAGCACACTTTCCATCAGGTATGCTAGTGCTAATCTCATATTTTACAGACAATCTAAACCAGCAAGAGAGAGAGAGAGAGAGAGAGATGAGAGAGAGATGAGAGAGAGATGAGAGAGAGAGATGAGAGAGAGATGAGAGAGAGATGAGAAAGAGAGAGATGAGAGAGAGATGAGAGAGAGATGAGAGAGAGATGAGAGAGAGATGAGAAAGAGAGAGATGAGAGAGAGATGAGAGAGAGAGATGAGAGAGAGAGAGATGAGAGAGAGATGAGAAAAAGAGAGATGAAAGAAACTAGATGAAAGAGAGAGAGAGAAATGAGAGAAAGAGAGATGAGAGAAACAATTAGATGAAAGAGAGAGATGAGAGAAAGAGAGATGAGAGAAAGAGAGATGAGAGAGAGAGATAAGAGAAAGAGAGAGAAATAGAGACAGAGATGAGAGAAAAAAGAGAGAGGCCTTAGCTCCCCACCCCTTTTACATATTTTTATGGGACTCAAGCCTTGTTTAAGTGAATATATATATATATGGTATACCACCCCCCCCCTCCCCCACCACACACACCTGTGCATAAATTGGAATGGGAATTTGAACATGTGACCACTGTGAGGATGAGTGAAATCATTTGTGGTCCAACTACCTCAAATTTATAGGTATTTATAAACTAAACTAATGTAGACACAGCTCACAATGAACACTGAAATAAAATCTTAAATGCAAGAAACTGCTAAATACAACAGTAAGAAGTACAATTGAAACAAGTCATCAATGCAGAGTAGAACAATATCCAAAGACTCTTACTTTGGGCAGATCTTGGGCGAAGCTCTGTAACCACACCAAACATATTTTTAGATGCTCTATTACTTTTCCTTAATATGTGGCAGGAAATCTTCTGACACGTACACGTTCAATTCTATAAAATTAAAAGGAATTTCTCTCGCTCTCTCTCTAACATATCAACACATTCTCTTCCCATCCTATTCTTAAAAGCTAAACAAAAAAAAAAACAGAACCAATGCTTTTAAATTAATCAAAATGTAAGCCATGTTTTCAGGTCACAGGTTGTTGGAAAATGTTCAAGCTAAAACAAAAATGGTGTGACTTTAGTTGAACAAACCACAACCAGTGACATCATGTTCATTTATGATTTTGGTCGCAAAAATAAGACTTGTATTTCTGTGAAAGAAAGCTATTTTGAATGCTTCCCTGTAGCAATGGAAAGGGCTGAATTTGTTCTAACGTATGGCAGAATGGTATTATTATTATAGGATATTATTTAATTTGCTACATAGTAACAACTGTGTGACCATAAATATTCCTTAAATTCCTCTAGAGTGCACGCCTGTCAGCACCAAGTATCTCGCAATATGTTGTAGGATACCTCCACAAATTACATGTTTTTCATTTCATTCACCCTGCTCTTCTTCTTCTTCTTCTTTCGTTCGCCTGAAATAAGTTGTCTATATCAGCAGTTTTGTCTCTTGTATAAATTCTGTCCACCCCACTCTTCTGTCCACCCCACTCTTCTATCCACCCCACTCTTCTATCCACCCCACTCTTCTATCCACCCCACTCTTCTATCCACCCCAATCTTCTGTCCACCCCACTATTCTATCCACCCCACTCTTCTGTCCACCCCACTCTTCTGTCCACCCCACTCTTCTGTCTACCCCACTCTTCTATCCACCCTACTCTTCTATCCACCCCACTCTTCTATCCACCCCACTCTTCTATCCACCCCACTCTTCTATCCACCCCATTCTTCTATCCACCCCACTCTTCTATCCACCCCAATCTTCTGTCCACCCCACTATTCTATCCACCCCACTCTTCTGTCCACCCCACTCTTCTGTCCACCCCACTCTTCTGTCTACCCCACTCTTCTATCCACCCTACTCTTCTATCCACCCCACTCTTCTATCCACCCCACTCTTCTATCCACCCCACTCTTCTATCCACCCCACTCTTCTATCCACCCCATTCTTCTATCCACCCCACTCTTCTATCCACCCCATTCTTCTGTGATATTTAACATTTCTCAAATCTATTGCAAATGTTGTGATGGAGGGGACAGTTTCTGCAGGCAGAGGCAGAGGCAGAACTCTGCAAAGCTGGATACAAGACATTGAAGATGCACTTGCTATGAAAGCACATAGGGCTGGACAGCTGCTCGAAAAAGGGAGACTTTCAGGCCTGTCATGATGAGAGCGACCTTCTGTAAAGGACATGCTAATTGATGATTTTAATTTTTACTTTAACTCCTCCTGTCATTTATTTCAACTCATCACAACCCTTGAATCTTTACCATAAAGTTTACCATCTGTGGGTATGAAAGAGTTAAAGTAACAACTATCTGTTGTTCACTAAGATAATTTGTCAGATTGGTTCATGCAGTGCTGGTCTGTGGCCATATAGTTTAGAAGATATTTGGACATACATGAAATTAATCCTGGCCACTTTCAAAACTTGAAAGAATAATTCTGCACTAAATACTGATGTTCTTTAAGTGTTGAGAGTTGAAGCTGTGTCTTCCAGAAGATTCAGCAACCGATCAACCAGTTACACATCCAAGCAATAACCAACAGACCAACCAGTTACACATCCAAGCAATAACCAACAGACCAACCAGTTACACATCCAAGCAATAACAAACAGACCAACCAGTTACACATCCAAGCAATAACCAACAGACCAACCAGTTACACATCCAAGCAATAACCAACAGACCAACCAAAAAGGCAGGCAGGCATTCAACCATATGATCAACTACCCAGACATTCAAGCAACTAACAAACAGACTAACCAACTATTCAACCAAGCAACCAACTCACTGTTCTGGTATACTGGGTAAGCAAGCAACTAACCAACCAGGCATCTGACCAGTCAACCATCTATACAACCAGGCAATTAACAATTAAAAAAAAAAAGTGACCAACCAACAAGTTATTACATTAGGACTGGGTACAAATTATGGTGTAGATTTTTACCACCCCCCCCCCCCCCCCCCCAAAGTAGATTTAAAAAAAAGTAGATTAAAAAAAAGTAGATTTTTACAAGAAAACTAAGTAGATTTTTACAAGAAAACAAACTGGCGTGCGTGTGTGTTTTGTCTGTGAGTTCCTGTGTGTATGTGTATGTGCATGAACATGTTCACATGTGTATACTTGTCTGTGTATGTGTATAATAACTGCATTATTATAATGACAGATGTAGATAACCCTGAAGTAAACAAACAGACAAGTACACACATAATGGTTACTGATACACATATAATGGTTACTGATACACATATAATGGTTACTGATATTATTGCTAAAATTACCAGTTACTCCTAAAAAAAAAAAAACAGGAATAAATACATCACCCAAGCCAGCCGACAAGTGCAAGACCACAACAGTGGGCTACAACCTGGTATCAGTGAGATGACAAGACCACAACAGTGGGCTACAACCTGGTATCAGTGAGATGACAAGACCACAACAGTGGGCTACAACCTGGTATCAGTGAGATGACAAGACCACAACAGTGGGCTACAACCTGGTATCAGTGAGATGACAAGACCACAACAGTGGGCTACAACCTGGTATCAGTGAGATGACAAACCACAACAGTGGGCTACAACCTGGTATCTGTGGGCTACAACCTGGTATCTGTGAGACGACAAGACCACAACAGTGGGCTACAACCTGGTATCAGTGAGACGACAAGACCACAACAGTGGGCTACAACCTGGTATCAGTGAGACGACAAGACCACAACAGTGGGCTACAACCTGGTATCAGTGAGACGACAAGACCACAACAGTGGGCTACAACCTGGTATCAGTGAGACGACAAGACCACAACAGTGGGCTACAACCTGGTATCAGTGAGATGACAAACCACAACAGTGGGCTACAACCTGGTATCAGTGAGACGACAAACCACAACAGTGGGCTACAACCTGGTATCAGTGAGATGACAAGACCACAACAGTGGGCTACAACCTGGTATCAGTGAGATGACAAGACCACAACAGTGGGCTACAACCTGGTATCAGTGAGACGACAAGACCACAACAGTGGGCTACAACCTGGTATCAGTGAGATGACAAACCACAACAGTGGGCTACAACCTGGTATCAGTGAGACGACAAACCACAACAGTGGGCTACAACCTGGTATCAGTGAGATGACAAGACCACAACAGTGGGCTACAACCTGGTATCAGTGAGATGACAAGACCACAACACTGGGCTACAACCTGGTATCAGTGAGATGACAAACCACAACAGTGGGCTACAACCTGGTATCAGTGAGATGACAAACCACAACAGTGGGCTACAACCTGGTATCAGTGAGATGACAAGACCACAACAGTGGGCTACAACCTGGTATCAGTGAGATGACAAGACCACAACAGTGGGCTACAACCTGGTATCAGTGAGATGACAAAAGAAGAAGGAAGAAGAGATTACCAGCTGCTTCCTCATCTTGCACAGGTTTGGGGAGGCATGCCAGTGATGTCTCAGGTGGCTGAAAAGGGTCACAACCTTCAAGATACATGATCTGTGACTTGCCCCGGCCAATGACCTGGAAGAAGTGGCTCTCCTCCTGTTGGTTGATTGGAGATTAGTCCACATGTTACGGAATGTAGATTGTTTCATGTGTGAGCAGTAAATACATGAAGATGAATGAAATTCTACTAACGCAAATGTAGATTGTTTCATGTGTGAGCAGTAAATACATGAAGATGAATGCAATTCTACTAACACAAATGTAGACTGTTTCATGTGTGAGCAGTAAATACATGAAGATGAATGAAATTCTACTAACACAAATGTAGACTGTTTCATGTGTGAGCAGTAAATACATGAAGATGAATGAAATTCTACTAACGCAAATGTAGATTGTTTCATGTGTGAGCAGTAAATACATGAAGATGAATGCAATTCTACTAACACAAATGTAGACTGTTTCATGTGTGAGCAGTAAATACATGAAGATGAATGAAATTCTACTAACAAAAATGTAGATTGTTTCATGTGTGAGCAGTAAATACATGAAGATGAATGAAATTCTACTAACAAAAATGTAGATTGTTTCATGTGTGAGCAGTAAATACATGAAGATGAATAAAATTCTATTAACACAAATGTAGATTGTTTCAAGTGTGAGCAGTAAATACATGAAGATGAATGCAATTCTACTAACACAAATGTAGACTGTTTCATGTGTGAGCAGTAAATACATGAAGATGAATGAAATTCTACTAACAAAAATGTAGATTGTTTCATGTGTGAGCAGTAAATACATGAAGATGAATGCAATGCTACTAACACAAATGTAGATTGCTTCATGTGTGAGCAGTAAATACATGAAGATGAATGCAATTCTATTAACACAAATGTAGATTGCTTCATGTGTGAGCAGTAAATACATGAAGATGAATGAAATTCTACTAACAAATATGTAGATTGTTTAAAGTGCGAGGAGTAAATATATAAAGATTAATAAAATGCTACTAACAAAATATAGATTGTTTCATGTGTAGGGAGTAAAAACATTAAGATGAATTAAATTCTACTAACAAAAATGTAGACTGTTTCATGTGTCAGGAGTAAACTCATATAGGTATGTACATCATCACAGTTATAAAAATGTAGATTGTATATGTGTGATGATTAAAAAACATGTAGGCATGCACACAATAAAAGTGATAAAAATTTAGGTAGTGTGGTCTTATATACAAAAGGTCAACATATGGTGAATAGTGCTCTTGCCTGCCGTGACAGTTATTCCGGTTCATTTCTGAGCAGAGACAAGGTTATATATTGTGTGTGGCCAGTATATTTCAGAGGTTGACCTAGTTTAATAAAAAATATGTACAACACAATTTTCTGAATTTTCTGTGAATGACCTGGGCAGGTACGTTGGTGAGGAAAGGAACTACAACCCCCATCTCAAATATTATGGTCTAAAATATCTGAAGGCCTAACACAAACAGCAGCACAGCCCGACATGTTGTGATTGTAACAGACTCACAGAGCATGCTTCGGTAAATTGAAACTGGCGTCCTGCGGGCATCTGAGTTTAAATATCTGGGAACTACATTTACCGAAGATGGGAAATTGGATAAAGAAATTAACATTAGATGCAGTAAAGCAAACCAAGTATTGGGACACCTAGCCCTCCTCTTACAGCATAAGACAATCCCAATCAGCACAAAGAGACATCTTATTCAAAGCATACTTATTCCAACTCTGTGCTACCAGTGCCAGACATGGTCACTCACAACAAACCATAAAAGAAAATTAGTAACCATGGAAATGAGATTTCTGAGAAGGGCTGTAGGAGTGACCATAAGAGATAAGATCAGGAATGAGATCATAAGAGAAAAAGTCGACACAGAACCAATTCTAAATTACATACAAAGACAGCAAGTGAAATGGTTTGCCCACTTAGAGAGAATGCCTTGTGACACCATACCATACAAAGCACACATGGAAAGAGAAGAAGGACGTAGAGCACGAGGTAGACCAAGAACAAGATGGAAGGATAACATTGGAGAAATTCTACAACAGCACGATGTGCCTATGGTTGAGGCGGCCAGAAGAGCTGGAGACAGAACCTTATATCTCCCTCGACATCCAAAGCGGTAAAAGAGGAAGTGAAGAAGAAGAAGAAGTCCTGCAGGCAGAGAGGCTGGCATCACGGGATATAACGACCAGATCAAGAGCAGATCATGGATTTTCTGTCCAGGTGTGCGGGGTAATGAGCTGCTATATGATAAAGCAGATGTGAATACTCCATGGGATCAAATAGACAGTACAAAGGAGCAGGTAGGGAATCCATATATTCATACATTCTTTCTTCTTCTTCTTTGCGTTCACCAGCTTTAAACTCTGGTGGAAAGTTCTGGTTGCTCGTCCACTACTGAACTGCAGTCCTGCTCCAGAACCTGAGTGTTGCGTGTGCATCAGTTTTACAAATTTCATTCTCTTGAATACAGACTGTTGGTCCCTTGCCTCTCTGGCAGATGCACTCCGACTTCAAAGGAAGCTCCCCAATTAGTCGACTCTTACGACATGCTTTTGGGGAGGCAGTGGGTCTATTCTTGTTTTCCCCACAATGGGGCCCCGGAACCCACACGGGGGATTCATACATTGAAAGACTAATTCAACAAGGTGGCGGGGGGGGGGGGGGGGGGGGGTTGAGGTTCTGGAAGATATTCAACACTAAGGGGGAAACAAAGGTGGACTTTTAAACAGGCTGCAACTGGTACTATTAGCATATCAACTCTTTGTTGGCTGCTAAAGAAGGGGACAGAGCATGTTTTAATTAGGGGTATCTTCTTCCAAGTTTGAGTGTGTCTGCCTCAGGCAAGGAACCAACAGTTTGAATACTAGTATGCCAAATCTGTAAAGTGGATGTGCACTCAAAACTCAAGTTCTGGAAAAAAGACTAAAGTGCAGAAGTGGATGAAAAACCAGAACTTTCCACCAGAGTTTACGGCTGGTGAACGTGAAGAGGAGAAGAAGAAAGATCAGTCTGTATCCTGGTTTGTTTTGGCAAAGTGGATGTTAATTTTTATAAAGAAATAAGTTGGAGGAAGAGTAGAAGTAGCAATAGAAGACAAAAGAAAGATACTAAAATAAAGCATAAAAGTGGTGGAGAATATAAAAGTATAACATAAAGTAAAGATCCCTTACCACGCCTTTAGGCGTATCGGGCATATGGGAAGAGCGCCCAAATTTTTACAGACCATCAGCACTCTGTGGGTAATGTGGTCAGCATTACGCCGGCTGTCTTTTCTTTCCCAGGACAGCCCATCCTGGTACCCATTTTAGGCTGGGTCACCTGCGACATCCCGTACCCCGATAAAAATCCAGGCAGCCTGCAGTGGGTTTCGATCGCGGTACGCTGGCTTACGAGTCGGACTCGCAATGCCTAAGCCATGGATGCCGCTCTAAAAATATAACATGAGACAGTTTTGAAAAAAAAACAACAACAACACAACAATGAATAAAGCGTAACAGTTTTTGAGGATATAAACATAAGGTAGTATACAGATGTGCTGTAGAAGGTTAACAAATAAAAGATGAGATTGGTGAATTATGTTATCAGATAAAACTATATTGTTTAACTATCAACAGTAAAACTGGTTTTAGTGGGGGGAAACACTAAATGAAACACAATATATAAACATTCCTAAATGTTCATGAAGCAAAGAATAATCTGAAATTTACTTCAACAATACAGAAGAAATAAATAAATTAAAAAAAAAATGTCAAATATCACAATTAATTAACATTACAGCAACAAATTGATCAAATAATATTAAAACAGAATATATTATTAAAAAGTTGTAATCTAAATCCACAGAAGAATTAATCTAAGGAAAAACAAATATTCTAATATTAGCAACTTTTTCAATAAAATAAAAGTGGCTGCAAAACTATTTAAAAAAAAAATTATAATAAAATCACCACCTCCCGTAGAAATGTCCCTCTTCTAACTTCAGTGCAGAATTATTTGTTGAAATGTGACAAGTTCTAAGTCTACACAACTGGAACAACAAACAATGCTTCACTCACAATCCATAGAGACTACTGAACAGCGGTGAGACGTGCATGTAATGGCTGTAACTGTTGCTTACACTTTCCAATGCAAAATAAAAATGCATTATTTTACTATGCATTTTAACTAGATATGAGATAAGTAAAAGAAACCATTAAGGGTATACTGGATGTAAGTTAAGTAAAATAAACCCTTGATGAATATTGGATGTAAGGTAAGTAAAAGAAACCCTTGAGGTATACTGGATGTAAGGTAAGTAAAAGAAACCCTTGAGGTATACTGGATGTAAGGTAAGTAAAAGAAACCATTAAGGGTATGTTGGATGTAACGTAAGTAAAATAAACCCTTGAGGTATACTGGATGTAAGGTAAGTAAAAGAAACCTTTGAGGTTTACTGGATGTAAGGTAAGTAAAAGAAACCATTAAAGGTGTATTAGATGTAAGGTAAGTAAAAGAAACCCTTGAGGTATATTGGATGTAAGGTAAGTAAAAGAAACCCTTGAGGTATACTGGATGTAAGGTAAGTAAAAGAAACCCTTGAGGTATATTGGATGTAAGGTAAGTAAAAGAAACCCTTGAGGTATATTGGATGTAAGGTAGAAAAAGGAGACCCTTTTCACAGACCAATCTGAGGTCAATGGACAATGTAGTCAATGTTACACTAACCATATTTGCCTCCAAGAATATTTTGTGGAGCTTATTTTAAACTGGACGGACCGGGGAAACAGTCGATAACATTTTTTTCTTCATAGAAATCTCTGACATCAGTTCAGAAATAAAAATCAATCAAGTCAATGTTTTGGACTGCTGTGTCAATGTTCTGGACTGCTGTGTCAATGTTCTGGACTGCTGTGTCAATGTTCTGGACTGCTGTGTCAATGTTCTGGACTGCTGTGTCAATGTTCTGGACTGCTGTGTCAATGTTCTGGACTGCTGTGTCAATGTTCTGGACTACTGTGTCAATGTTCTGGACTGCTGTGTCAATGTTCTGGACTGGTGTGTCAATGTTCTGGACTGGTGTGTCAATGTGCTGGACTGGTGTGTCAATGTGCTGGACTGGTGTGTCAATGTGCTGGACTGGTGTGTCAATGTTCTGGACTGCTGTGTCAATGTTCTGGACTGGTGTGTCAATGTGCTGGACTGGTGTGTCAATGTGCTATCATAACATGAAATTAAAATCTAATTATTCTTCAAATTTCAAAAAAAAAAAAAAAAAAAAAAAGAAACAATCAATGCCAATACTAAGAAAGAATGAAAAAAAAAAAAAACACTAAAAGATTTTGGAAACTAGTGGAGAAAAAAGAAACTAATAAAGATTGAAAATACTTAAATCACCTGTCCTTCTGAAAAACATTTCTGAAAAAATAAACAGAATATTTTTAGTACAAATATATTCAATATCTGCACAACTGACATGCATGAGTAAACACAAGACACACACACTGCCAGGAGGAAAGGTTTCCTTACATACCTGCGAGAACAGTTTAATTCTGACTCCATCTGAAAAGAGGTCACTTTCATGATCAGGAGCAAAGGTCACCATTATTTCCTTAGTTTCACCTGCGGACAAATATTATGACATCATTTGGAATGTTGGCTAAAAAATGTGTGTCTGCCTACTGTTACTATTAGTTAATCAAAGTTTCAACTTCATAGCAAATACGTCACGCCACAGTTGCTTCATTCCTGATCCAGAGAAAATCACATGGGTTGCCTATTGCTGTTCCTTAAGAAAAACAATGAAACAGACTGCAGTCTTGGCAAAACCAACAGCATACACACACATTAAATACATAAGGCATCCTGTTATTAAGGAACACACTGTTCACTTCCTGCTGGTGATATCCCTTAGTGTTCATTTATTATGTTAGCACCATATACCTAATGTGGCTCCTGATGTGAACAGGACACTTTACTTTCCCATTCAAACTGTCCGCTGAAACTGTGAGGTAACAGATAATAATATATGCAACAAAAACTTTATGTAGATACTAATGACTGGAGAGTCAGAACTGCTGAAACATGAGGCAAAAGACAATAATATATGCAACGTTAACTTCACGTGGATAGTGACTACTAATGAATGTCTGCTTAAGATAAACAATCTGAAGAAGAATGAAACTTAGATGGGAGTGGAGGAGAAGGAGGTGGGAAGGAATAGGGTAAGAAGAAGTAGAAGAAGAAGGATAAGAAGAAGCAGAAGAGGAGGAAGAAGAAGGAGGAGATGAAGGAGATGAAGGAGGAGGAAAAGGAAAAGAAGAAGTTTTAGATGAAAGTGTTTAATTAACAGCTTTGTAGGAAGTCAACTCTGTAGAGAAAGCAACATTAAAAAAAAAATGAATAAAAATAAAAATTAAGAACAAGTGGATGATTCTGACAATGATGTTGATAATGACAGTTATAATGATGTCTCAGTGTGGGTTGCAGGGCCCTAATTTGGGTGGGTGGGGGGTGGGGGGGGGGGGGGGGGGGGGGGAAGAAGAATAGATCTACTGCCCCCCCCCCCCCCCACCCCTTCCCAACAATCATGTCATAAAAAGTAACTAATTAGGAGTGTCTCCTCTCAAAGTCTGAGCACATCTTCCTGAGAGGCCAGGAACCAACAGTCTGCATACAAATGAGCCGGATCTGTAAAATGGATGCAAAAACAAAAAACAAAGCCAAAGTCCAGAAGTGGATGAACCACCTGGTCTTTCTGCCAGAGTTCACAGCTGGTGAATGCAAACAAACAAACAACATGATGATGACGAGGAACGTGACAATAAAAGGCAAGTTACCTGCATTTATGGTACCGGTGGCAGGGACAATATCAAAAACATTTCTGCCGCATTTATTCTGTGGACCTAAAATGAAAACCCAAACTGCCTGAACTATTCTTACACAGAATTTTTTCTAAATGGGACTATTCTAAATTTACTATTTATAAATACAATTATTCTGAAATGATCATATTCGTAAATTTAACCAATCATAAACCAAATTAATACTCAATGGAACAATTCTTAAACTGAATGGATACGATTAATTAAGAAGTAGAGTGTTTAGGAAAGCCAGCTTTGCTGGTTTCCTTGTGATTCTAAACACCTTCTATGTCATTACTATATATTATAGGACTGCTAACTTTTTTTTTCTTTCAGATGTGAGGGATTTATGGTTAATGATTTACCCATCGAGACTGTTTTCTGGGCTTAATCCCCAGGTGGGGAGCTGCTGGCTGAACAGCTAGAACACTGGGCTCTCAAGTGGGAGACCTGAGTTCGAATCCTCAGTAAGGCTGGGGATTTTTTTCTAGTGGGGGCAAAATCAAATCCTCACCTGCACAGTGGTGGTGACAACACTAGCAATATGGCTGTAATTCCTCAGGCTCAAAGACCCCCCTGCCTACACTGCACAAGTGGTATAATAAAGGCAGGCAGTGATAGTTTCCTTAATCACCAGATTAATTAAAAAAAAAAAAAAACTTACTGAAATCAATTAAAAAATAACTGTCACTTCTGTCTTCTATACCTTCATGCAGCAGAGAGGCTTGAGTATTCCAGTGACCCAAAAACGATACCAACAATAGCAGAAATGACGTATTCATAAACTGGCCTTTGAAGTCATAAGTTTCCTTTCCCTTGGACTTGGACATCTCCTGCAGGTGACTGAGCACATGTTGGACAGAGCAAAGGTAAAGACCAGTAGGAGAGAGAGAGAGGGCAGAGAGAGAGAGAGAGAGAGAGAGAGAGAGAGAGAGAGAGAGAGAGAGAGAGAGAGAGAGAGAGAGAGAGAGAGGGTAATGATCCTCTGTCTGAAGATTGGCGGAGTTAGTCAAATATTAGTAATATTAGTAATCTCTGGAAAATGAAGTACTGGGTCACAGATCATGGACACTATGTGCTGTATGATGTTCATTCAAAGAATGCAAACAAAAAGACTACTATATGATATTCCATAATGATCTCACTCTCTTCTTCCTGCACTTACTTCAGCCAAGTGTTGGGGGAAGATGTCAGGATTGTCTATAGGATCTTTCTAATGCATAATTTAAACTTGTCTTCCTTTCTCTAATGTCCTCTCTGATTCCACCAATCCAGTTTTTGCAAGGTCTTCTCCTGGTTCTGTCTTCACTACATCTATTCTCTGATGATAGATTGCATTAAACAAAAACTCTCAAACAGACAGGCATTCACCGTCATTTGCCATGTGGATCACAGCAGGAAATTAGATATCCTTTATCCTCAGGAGTAGCCACAAATTGACACTTCCAATTCTCTGTAACTGTCACTTTTTGTTGTTGTTAACTTTTCTTCATTCTGTTCTTGTTTAGTTGGTCTATATATTCTTTATATATATCTTTATATATTTTGAACAAAATATAATAAAATGTAGAGAAATAATTGTTTAAAAGGAATTTTTAGGGAATTCCCGAAGTGCCATAACCCACTTTTTAGCATTCCTGGTGCCACAGGGTTCAACATCTGTTCCGTGTGTGGAATCAAACAAACACTAAGAAAAGATCAGTGCTCTTGTACCTACCAACATAGTTCTTTGTTTTGTGTGGTTCTAGTGCACCCAGATATGCAGGAATGTTTTGAGCTTTGATCTGACGGAGATGGGACAAACTGTCCTGTGCGATGATGAATTCAATAGGAAGTGGAGACAGGTTCTCAATCTGTGTGACACAAAATATCAAATAAAAAAGTTAAAATTAAACTGTTGATCAGTTTAAAGCTCACTACCATCAATACCACAACAACAACAACAGCAATAACAACAACAACAAACAACAGAAACAAATGTAATAAAAAGGAAAAACAATAACGGGATTATATCCAGTCTCCCTCATGTGGGTTCTGGGATCCATTGCAAGAATCAGGGAGGTGTGTGTGTGGGTGTGTGTGGGGTGGGGGAGGGGGGGGAGGAACAGACCCACTGTCCCCCAAAAAGCATGTTACAAGAGTAGACAAATTAGGGATGTCTACCTTTGAAGCTGGAGTGCATCTGCATGAGAGATGAGGAACCAACATTCTGCACAAAGGTAAGCCGGGTCTGTAAAATGAATGTGCATGTAAAAGTAAGGTACTGGAACAAGACCAAAATCCAGAAGTGGATGAACAACCAAACTTTCTGCCAGTTGACAGCTGGTCGACGCAATGAAGAAGAAAAAAGAAGAAGAAAACTCAGTCTGTATTTCTTTTCTGTTCCATTATGCAAAAATCTGGCCAGCTACTCATCAACAAGAGCCAAAGTGGCATAGAAGTTTAGGTGCCTGCTCCCCATGAAACAGTCCCTGTTCAGTCCCAAGCAATGGCAGGTCACCAGCTATGACCTTTTGTGATAGAAAGACTTCCTGGCCCTGGTCTTACACACACACCCACCCACTCACATGTGCATGCACACCCACACACCCACTCACATGTGCATGCACACACACACACACCCACCCACTCACATGTACATGCACACACACGCACACTCACATGTGCATGCACACACACACACCCACCCACTCACATGTGCATGCACATACACACACACACTCACATGTGCATGCACACACACCCACCTACTCACATGTGCATGCACACACACACACACTCACATGTGCATGCACACACACCCACCCACTCACATGTGCATGTACACACGCACACACATGCATGCACACACACACCCACCCACATGTACATGCACACACTCACATGTGCATGCACACACATACACCCACCCACTCACATGTGTATGCACACACACACACACCCCCACTCACATGTGCATGCACACACACACACACCCACCCACTCACATGTGCATGCACACACACACACACATGCCCACTGTCCGTATGAGAGAAGTCAAAGTCAGATAACACACCCTGATACAAATATACACCCACAAAAACAGTCAGTAAATGTGACTTTGACAGCGTTACCTACTGTGAACGATTTCTCCACAAACTCTCCAGCCAGAACTGCTTTCATGTCAAGGACACCATCTTCTACGTTCACACTCACTACTGGGCTGACCCCACAACCTTTAAAGGTCAGGCAAAGGGTAGAGTTCAAAGTTCTGATTTCAAGATATTCTTGAAACTGAGAAAGGAGTGAAAACAAGACTGAGAGAGATGATTTATATGTACTGTGAAACTTTAATGAATTTATTTAGTCTGCAACTTTGTACTTCAAATATCTTTAATTAGTTTAGTCACATTTCTGATGTCTTTGCTATGGGTAGAGTTCAAAGTTCTGATTTCAAGATATTCTTGAAACTGAGAAAGGAGTGAAAACAAGACTGAGAGAGATGATTTATATGTACTGTGAAACTTTAATGAATTTATTTAGTCTGCAACTTTGTACTTCAAATATCTTTAATTAGTTTAGTCACATTTCTGATGTCTTTGCTATGTTTCGGTACCATCATAAACCACACAGAATGTGACATAACTGAAACAAACTACAGTTTCTACAAAACTAGTGATTGTGTTTAAGAAAATCTGATACTCTGTTGTCTCTCTTCTGACATAAAAAAAAAAAAGTAGATCTACTACTGTTTTCATAAAAAATTAGGACTGGAGTCGCGCAACTTGGACTTCAGTGTGACTCAAGTTGTTCAATTAACGACTTGCAACTGGACCTGGGGTTTTGTTCAGCGACTCGATGTTGACAACATCACACACTGAGTGGTGACTGGTCAATAAAATATAGTCCATGTTGCTTTCTGCTGGCCTGAAAATCAGCCATACACATATCATTGTTGTAACTGACTCACAGAGCATGTTGAGAAAGGTGGAGACAGGCATGCTCCATGCAGACAGACTTGCCGGTCCTGCACCACTTGGTGGTGAACTAAAGTATGACAAGCTAGATGTTATAAGGGCCTTTTAGCAACAAGTGAACAGCTCAGAGGCACAAACAGATCATTACAGTCTGAGGAGAATGGCGCTGCGGGGAGTTACCAGGGGATCTGGCTGACGCTCAACACTCAAGGGAAAGACGAGACGGACATACAATCAGACAGTTACTGGTACCATCGGAATTGGAACTCTTTGCTTGCTGCTGAAGATGAGGACAGAGCGCTTATAGGAGTGTCCCGTGTGCTGTGATGTTGATTCATAATTCAAAATTCAGGGATTCGATTTCTGACTTGTAGCTTTGACAGCCTGGTATCACTTGTTCTTTGCAGCCAGCTACTGTGAGATTGCTGATCAACGTCACATTTTATATTTAACTGGACAGCATAAATGTTGTTTCGATTTATCAAGCTTTCACATTTGACTTCTTTTACTTGTATAAATAGTAAGTAAGCTTTTCACATGGCCATCTCTACATTTGTATTTTCACATTTTTTAATGATCCATAAGCATTATCCCAAGCAAGACTTGCAACTGACTTGAAACATGAAGTGACTTGACTTAGTACTTGATTTGGAAGCATTCTTGGTGACTTGAAACTTCCCATGGGACTTGTTGGCACTGACCTGGGACTCGACTTGGACTTAAAAGTATCAAGGAAAGATATAAAACCGAACGAAAAGTATATCAGTGAGCTTCACAATATAACAAACACAAACAAAACATAAACCTGCGTCTATAGAGCCTTTATCAGCATTTGGACTCAAAAGGTGGTGACTTAATCTACCTCTGGTATTCGTAACATGCAGAATAAAATTCTAGTTTAATAAGAACTTACTATGTGGCCTCTATGAGGTGTAAAGGTCAGCAGAATTGTATGTGTTTCTCCGGGCAGCAAATTTCTAAAGGCATTGCGTATCTGGAATGGTCCAGCCGGATCCAAAACTGTTGATTTCAACTGAAATGATTTCAAAAATTATCATAGGCTTGTTAATGAATTCTAATGACTCAGCTATGTTGGATCTTCCATTAAAATTTTAGTATGGTCTCTCTATTAACACCAACGATCTTCTTGTATCCATTCTCTGACTTTACGTAATATGTTCCTCATTGCAAACAGAAACTGGGTGTCCAGGTCTAGTTGCATTAGTAATCGTTTCCACATCACTTCTGAAACGTGAATACCAGCCGAAAATTATCCCCATAAACTTGTCGCATCAATTTAACTGTCTCAATGGCCCTGTTGCAGAGTTTTCCACAGAATTGAGTGTTAGCTTTTTGCTCCATGCTGCTTATGTAACAATGCAGCTCTGACTAGGTCAACAACATGGTGGCTTGTTTGTTGTCTATATATCGGGCGGCAATGAAAGGTTGCAAGATCATAGATGAAGGTTGCCTCTTTAGATTCCATGCTTTGCTTCTCAGTTGGCATTTTTGTCTTGGCCATAATAAAATCAGTGTAATTACTTAATTGTCAGACCTTGTATATTGTTCAAGATGCTGTTCAAAACACTACTTTAGTAACAACAAGTCAGAGGAAACTGCAGAAAATAATGGGACAGTTTTTGCAGAACATCAAAACAGGATCTTAGCTTGGACCATGGAGAGGCTGAAGTCAGTGATGCCTAAAGGCACAACTAAAGTCAGTAATGCCTAAAGGCACAACTGAAGTCAGTGATGCCTAAAGGCACAACTAATGCCAGTGATGCCTAAAGGCACAACTAAAGTCAGTGATGCCTAAAGGCACAACTAAAGTCAGTGATGCCTAAAGGCACAACTAAAGTCAGTGATGCCTAAAGACACAACTTAAGTCAGTGATGCCTAAAGACACAACTAAAGTCAGTGGTGCCTAAAAGCACAACTAAAGTCAGTGATGCCTAAAGGCACAACTAAAGTCAGTGATGCCTAAAGGCACAACTAAAGTCAGTGATGCCTAAAGACACAACTAAAGTCAGTGATGCCTAAAGTCAGTAAAGTAAAATTGCCTTGTCTGTGCCTTCAGGTGTACTGGGCATACAGGGCTAGAGCTATATTTGATAGACCAATCTGCACCAACTGGCACTCAGTACGTGATGTGGTCAACATCCTGCCGGCCACCTTTCCTTCCCAGGACTTTTCCAGGTATGTACTCAAGGCTGGGGTGACCTGGTAGCCAAGGTTGTTTTTGGAAAAACTCCAGCTCTGTTCGAACTCGAACCCATGACATTCTGATCTGCAGTGGAGCATCTAGCCATTACACCAAGGCATCACCATCATCAATTTCCACCTCTGCCATTAAGTGTTGTGGGGAGAAACAGTTTGCGTTCCACTACCTGATGGGCAGCAATGGCTGCTGTCATTCCATGTCAATGTAGAAGCTCTTTAATGTCATCAGTCCATCTTCTCCTAGGGAGGCCTCTTGCTTTCACTTCAGATTCTTTTATGTGTAGCGCCTGCGTTGGTAGTCATTCTAGCTGTATCTTAATAGATGACCAAACCATTTGATCTTCCTTTTCTCAATGAATTTGCTGCACGGTGTTGTTCCTACAGTCTGTCTGATAATATTTCTCTGATGTCTCGGATGGTTAAGTTGCGACTTTTCTCAGGCATCTCATTACACACGTGTTAATTTCACGTAGTTTAGCCTTTAGTCCACATATGGCACTGGTAGCACAGTGTTGGCATGAATATGGTGTTTATAATCTGTTTCTTGGTGCTCATACTTATGTTTGGATTTCTGAAAAATGGTCTCAGGTGGTATATAAGTGCACAGGCTCATTGGCATATTGTTCCTATTTCCTGATCTATTCTTCCATCCTCCAAGAATATACTTCCTAGATATTTAAATTTTTTAACTTGCTTCAGACAGGTACCATTCAACATGATATGTAGTGGACTTCAGACAGGTACCATTCAACATGATATGTAGTGGACTTCAGACAGGTACCATTCAACATGATATGTAGTGGACTTCAGACAGGTACCATACAACATGATATGTAGTGGACAAGGAACTCTGCTGACTTGCATTACTTAGTTTTAGTTGTATTGATGTACATGTGATATTTTCTGCATGTTGAACTGAGCCTGTGTAAATGTTCTTGCAGTCTACTAAACTTGTTGTAGAAAGTCAGTGATATTCATTTTAAAAAAAGTACAGCAATTGAATATTCCCCTTATGGGTTAAGATAACACAGAAACATTTATTAAGTGAAATAAACTGCCGACCATTTTGTGAAGTTTGTAATATACAAGACAGAAGCCATGTTGGCAACGTATGTAGTTCAAAGAATTCAAAGATATTTATTACATCAAAGACTGACCTTTGGCAATGTATGTAGTTCAAAGAATTCAAAGATATTTATTACATCAAAGACTGACCTTTGGCAATGTATGTAGTTCATAGAATTCAAAGATATTTATTACATCAAAGACTGACCTTTGGCAATGTATGTAGTTCATAGAATTCAAAGATATTTATTACATCAAAGACTGACCTTTGGCAATGTATGTAGTTCAAAGAATTCAAAGATATTTATTACATCAAAGACTGACCTTTGGCAATGTATGTAGTTCATAGAATTCAAAGATATTTATTACATCAAAGACTGACCTTTGGCAATGTATGTAGTTCAAAGAATTCAAAGATATTGATTACATCAAAGACTGACCTTTGGCAATGTATGTAGTTCATAGAATTCAAAGATATTGATTACATCAAAGACTGACCTTTGGCAATGTATGTAGTTCATAGAATTCAAAGATATTGATTACATCAAAGACTGACCTTTGGCAATGTATGTAGTTCATAGAATTCAAAGATATTTATTACATCAAAGACTGACCTTCATTTGTTTATCCCAGATACTGAGAAGTGTGATAGACTTTGAGCAGGTCTGACCAACTGAAATGCTTCCAAAATCGATCACATGGCGCCCATCATCAGAGACCACCATGACCTCTGGCCGGACGGCTGGACAATGCACTTCCAGGTACAGGGTGTTGTGAATGCTGGGAAAATATCGACACATTTGTGGGTATTTATTTTCATCAGAGGCACGGGAAGATATTACCAGTGGCGACAAGTTGTGGTTAGACTTGGTGATGCTTGCCAGCCAACACAGCACTTAAAGAAAGATGAAGAAGGAGGAGAAGAAGAAGAAGAAAAAGAAAGAGAAGGTGAAGGCAGAAGAAGAATGAGAAGGCTAAGAAGAAGAAACAAGAGGAAAAAAAGAAGTAGGAGAAGACGGAGAGAAGGATGATGATGATGATGATGATGAAGAAGTAGTAGTAGATAAAAAAGAGACCCAATTACTATTTTTAAACTGAGCAGAGAATGAGAGTGTGAGGTGGTGAAATGCACAAACTTTGTGTGTTCATATGACCCAGAGGTCACCGAGTTCACCAACAGAATAGGGAATCCTGAAAGGGAAAACAAAACCGCCCTGAGTTTCTAGTGCCAACATTCATCCCTGTGATCTCAAGGGCAGTGGGCACCTAGTTCCCTCAGATAAGGGTGAAAAACAAACGGTTCTGCCTCCAAACTGAGCATGTTAAAATATACCCCGCAGGTGGAAACCATAACAGCCAGTCGTGACACGTTTCTGTCATTTCTATCAATGGATTTCTATGCTTGAGAGATACTGTCTGGTAGCTTCGGCTGAATCTGTCAATAGGAAGAAGACTTCCAAAAATACAAGGCAAAGTTCTACAACTGACTTGTCATTTGATGAGATATACAAACAGGCATGATGAACTCCCCTTGAATGAAAAAGATGAAGATATACTGTATAATAATTTATGCGCTGGGAAGTAAATGCATTTATGTGATAAACTTCTAATTCTAGTGTTTTTTTCTATTTTAACATATGCAAACCATAAGACAAACATTGATGAGAGAGGCCAAAGATGTTGGACTGGATTCAATCCATGATATTGAAGAGATTTCACAGGATAGAAGTGAATGGAAAATAGACTGCCAATCCTATGTGACATACAATGGCACAGCAGGATAATGAATGTGATACACAAAGTGAGACTACAACAGAAACAACATTACACATACCTATAGCTGAGTTCTCCTGGGCCACCAGCTTGTCCAGCTGCTATATAGCAGGGCACGGTCACAGACTGTAAGCGACCTTTGAACTGTCGAAGAAGTGACGTTACGGCTGCACGGTGCACAGAGGAACTGCAGACAGAAAATGCTCGAAGAGATACACATGAGCTCCCTTTAAACATAACACAGAGAGAAAGAGAGGCAGACAAACAGAGAGAGGAAAACAGAGAGAAAAAGATAGAGAGAGATTAAGACAGAAAAAGAGACAAAGACACAGAGAGAGAGAGAGAGAGAGAGAGAGAGAGAGAGAGAGAGAGAGAGAGAGAGAGAAGACAAAGACACAGAGAGAGGGAGAAACAGAGATGCCAAATCTAAAGCCTGACTTACTCTATGCCGAGACTGACTGCATCAGATCCTGGAGTTGCTGTGTTTGTTGATGATGGTGATGATAATGATGGTGTTGATGACAGTGACGGCTTACTCTTGCTCCGGGAGACTGACAACTTGGAAACAGTTGAGAATTTCTTTTTGTTGATACTCTGCTGACATAAACATAACTCTGGTTGTAAAAAACACACATAGATATGTTATGTCTCACAAACACACGCGCTTGTGTGCACTAATACTGTATATATGAAAATGATATATCAATATGGTGGATAGGCGGTTTTACTGTTTTAAGTTGTGGTGAAGGTCTTTGCTTATGACAATAGCAAGCCACTGTATTTTCCTCCTTAGATAGACTGAAAGAATATAGTTCCATATTCCAGCCACCGAGTTGAGTTCTTGGCGAGACTCTGTGAGCTGTGGATTTTATTTGGATTGCTGTTCGACTGTGCCCAATATGGCTTGTGTTGTGAACTGTACATTCAGAAAATGGTGAGTGGCCTGTTGCTAGAGAACTTGTGGTGCTTTGTGAGATTAATTGTGTGTGCAACGACTGATCTGTTGTACCTGCAGCTTCCATCGTCAATGAACTGCATTGCTAGTGTCAGACTGTTTGTGCTGACAATTGTGATGGCTACCTTATGTACTTAATAAGTGTGCAAGCTTTTGGTTTTGCTGAGACTGCAGTCTGTGCCATTGTTTTCACAAGGGACAATGATGGATATTCTGTGTGGTTTTTGTTGGCAGAGGAACGGAGCAACTAATGGCGGATCTGCTTGCTGTGAAGTTGGAACTGCAGTTCCCTGATCTAAGAAAATACTTGAATGTGGGTAAAAAGAATAAAGTTAGTTTTGTATCATTTACATTATGTTGCATAACCAGTTCCAGCAAATTTTTTTGGGGGGGCAGGGGGGGGGGTGGTTCTTTGAGATTTTGTTAGTCATTTTACCTTGAGTAGTTTGTCACTGCTTTCTCAATAGCAGGCTCTCTATACAACTGTTGTAATGAAGGCAAATTGTTGGAATTGCACTGGGTATCTTGGAATCTCTCTCTTTCGCACACACACACAAACACACACATGAAGCTACTGAAAAAGAAACTAAGTTTCTCAACAAAAATTCTGGCTCATGCGCTTTTTTGCTAAAGGAGTCTCTTATATCTTGTCTCTGCCTTTCCTATCTGGGACCATGCGCTCCACTACTGTTCTTTGAAAACCACTTTGATGGTTGATATGGCCAAAGTATTTCAGATTTTGAGACAGGATACTGTTCACTAGCTAATCTTCCCTCCTTGAGAATGTCAATATTTCTCTTTTTCTTGGTCTATGGAACTCTAAGAAAATTTATGTAGCATTTCATCTTGACTGCGAGACAGTCCATGACTCACATCTGCATGTTACTACAGGGAAGATGCATTCATCACAATTTTCACTTTGATTTGCTTGCTGGTGCTTAGCCAAAGGCTTTTAATGCTGTTTAATTCTAGCATTGCTGTGGTTATTTTCTTTTTTTTTTTAAATTTCTGTTGAACAGTCTCCATAGCTGTTTATGATGGAGCTAAATATTCAAAGTCTGTGAGAGTCTCAATTTCTTCATCCTTGATTGTTTACTTTGGGTGACATGCTGTTTTGTCTGTGGACACTTACCAACATCAGGCATCATCAACATCATCATCATAAACCACTTCTGTCGTTAAGCGTCATGGGGAGGAATAATTTGCGATCCAGTGCACGTTGGCTGCCACTGGCTATTGTCATGCCATGAAGGCGTAGAGTGTCTTTAATGTTGTCGATCCATGTTTTCCACGGTCTCGATCTCGTATGGTTAGGTTGGCTGCTTTTCTCAGGCACCTCAACTCGCAGGTGGGGATTTTGCGTATATGGGCTATAGATAGTGTCCAGGTTTGGCACTGGTAGCTTAATATTGCAATGAATATGCTATTAATAATCAGTCTCTTTGCATGCTTGAATGTCTTAATAATGGTGACAATTGGTATATAAGTGCACTTGCTTTCTGACATCTGGTTTCTATTTCTCTGTCAATTCTACCATCTTCTGTGATCATACTTCCTAGATATTTAAACTCCCTTACTTGATTCAGAGCGGAACCATTCAACTGTATGTATACGTGCAAATTATTGCATGTATATGAAATATGTGGGCAGTTGTGTAGCGCCTTTTCGCTCGCCTGTAGATCAGAAGGTCATGTGTTCGAGTCCTGGTGGTACCAGACTTTTTTCAAAAATGACTTTGGCTCCCAGTTCAACCCAGCCTTGAGTGGGTACCTGGTGCCATCCTGGGAAGTAAAGGTGGCTGGCATGATACTGACCAAATCACCATCAAGTGCCGATGGTTTATAGAATATAGGTCTAGCCCTATATGCCCAATACACCTAAAGTTGTGGAAAAAGGTCCTTTACTTTACTTGACTTGACTTGACTTGACTTTACTCTATAGAATATGTATTTTGTGTTATTGAAACACACATATAAACACATGTCTGATATGCTTATGTGAATTATGATATATACATCACAACATATTTGTGTTTATTGTGTGTCAACAGAAACATACATTTATGTGCTCCCTATCCCCCACACATGCATCCATGCACATAATGTCCATTGTATGTGTACGCAAGCATACATTTATGTGCTCCCTATCCCCCACACATGCATCCATGCACATAATGTCCATTGTATGTGTACGCAAGCATACATTCATGTGCTCCCTATCACATGCATCCATGCACATAATGTCCATTGTATGTGTACGCAAGCATACATTTATGTGCTCCCTCTCCCCCACACATGCATCCATGCACATAATGTCCATTGTATGTGTACGCAAGCATACATTTATGTGCTCCCTATCCCCCACACATGCATCCATGCACATAATGTCCATTGTATGTGTACGCAAGCATACATTCATGTGCTCCCTCTCCCCCACACATGCATCCATGCACATAATGTCCATTGTATGTGTACGCAAGCATACATTTATGTGCTCCCTCTCCCCCACACATGCATCCATGCACATAATGTCCATTGTATGTGTACGCAAGCATACATTTATGTGCTCCCTATCACATGCATCCATGCACATAATGTCCATTGTATGTGTACGCAAGCATACATTTATGTGCTCCCTATCCCCCACACATGCATCCATGCACATAATGTCCATTGTATGTGTACGCAAGCATACATTTATGTGCTTTCTCTCCCTATCACATGCATCCATGCACATAATTCCATTGTATGTGTACGCAAGCATACATTTATGTGTATCATGTATCTGAATCTTTACAAACAACTTTCAACAATACCAAATAGATTCTAAAGAGGTTTTTTCTAGAAAGAAAAAAAAGGCTATTACAGTAGCATCGAAGAAAAAGAAAGCATTAAAGTTGCGCACAGCCAGAAAAAAAAATTATTGGATTCTTACATCATAAACATAAGAGTTCAGTGAGAAAAGCAAATGTGATCAAAACAACACTCAACTTTCAATATAAATAGGACATCTTGTTAGTTTTAAACTAAGGGTAGTTAAAAAAAATAACATCACAATGAAAAACAGCTGCCGGAACTTTCTAGAGAGTGAAGGTGGTGACAGGAACTGGCCATCTCACCACAGCCTAAGATATGTGAAAGCCTAACACTAACACCCCAATGCACAAATATATATATATATAAATATAATCTACGTATCTACACACATAATTTTCCCTTTAAATTCATCAATTCTTAAACCTAACCTAGTTGATTTTCAAACTTCCTGGGATGATTTTCAGACCAGATAGGATGTTTTAATTCTTATTCTCGCTCACGCATGCACATATGCACGCACACAAACACACATACACACCAACAAACATGCATACTTCCACTGACAGAACAGAACAGAGAAATGTAGAATTAATGGAGGTTCAAAATATACAGGAGACTTAATTTAAAAACAAATGCTGTATGTTCGAATATGTGTTTATAATTATGCTTGTATGTTTTCTGCAGGGTTCCAGGGACTAGAAAAAAAAAACTATGGCATTCTTTTAAGAAAAGTATGAAAACAATTTCTGTAATCAACTAATTCAGCAACTCAGCAAATTCAAAACAAAAACAAAATCATCAAATATTGCACCGCTAATATTTCCTTGAAAATTTTTTCACATGATAAAGTAACTTGCACCAACATAAAAGTATTCTCTGGAATTCACCAGCCAACAAAATGAAACAAACTGTATTTGGGAAACAATTCTTGCCAACAGGAAATGACATGCCCAGATTAAACAAAATCTAACAGCAAGGAACAACTACATACAACTCTAACAACATTGGCAGTTTCATCATCGGTTTCATTGACTGGAGTGCCTGTAATTGTGTTCCTCTTGCTTGCAGGACGTGATCTCTCCACAGGTTCACCTATTCTAATAATGTGTGTTGCAATAAAGATGGAGGAACTTTATTTCTAACTTTGTGTAGAAGAGTTCAGAAATGTTATTAGTGTACTGTATGAGTATGACAGTGAGAAATGGGTGGCAAATGAGAAACAGAAAGAAACAAGACAGACATAGAGAATTGGGTTGCAAAAGTTTGTGAGAGAGAAAGAAAGAGAAAGAGAGAGAGAGACAACAAAAAAGTGAGAAAGAGAGTAAGCCAGGAGGCAGATGAGAGAGTGGGAAGGAGAGAAAACTGGATGGCAAATGTGAGTCTACAAGTGAGAGAGAGAGGGATAGAGAAATAAAGAAAGAGAGAGAGAGAGAGAGAGAGAGAGAGAGAGAGAGAGAGAGAGAGTGTGAAAGAGAGAGAGAAAGAGTGAGACAGAGAATGCATAATAGATACTGAGTAAAAGAACAAATTTAAAGCTGGTGTAACATCAGTAAAAGGTTTTTATGTCTGCCCCCAGTTTGCTCCCTTGCCTATCAATTTAACATCTGACCTGGTATTATGGTTATAAAGATGGCATTTCTTAGTCTTTTATGTTGTTGTTGCTGACATTATGAAACAAATATTATGCAAGACTTTCAAATTAAAATCTCTGTAAAACTGTCAACAACAAGCCATTAGGTTGCAGCCCTGGCAAATGTGCCAGTAAGGAACCTGCTCACAGAAAGAAATGAAAGAGACACTACACAAATAAACAAAACAACAAT